GTTGTTAGCATGTTGCTATCAGAAGTAGCATGTTGTTTATGAGTTTGTAACATATTACCAGGATTAATTAACATGTTGAATGAATTAGCATCTCCTGGTGTTTCTAGCATGTATTTTCACCATTGTTGACAAATAAGCATACTGACATTTATGACAAGCATATTGATCATGTTTCTATATTCTATGCTAAAAGCATTTAGCACAAATTACGATGACAATACAATATTCTCTAGCATATTGTTAGCATGATTTATCATGATGCAACCAGAAACATGCTGTTTGTTTCATTATGTCTAGCATGATGAAACAACCTAGCATGTTATTAATGTTTATCTGACATGTTTTATCCTGTTAATTGTGTTGCTAGCATGACGTAGCATGTTGTTAGAGTGTTTGTAACATATTTAAATATGAGCATAATAAACATGATGCTAAACATCTTTGTAACATGCCCTCTTAAAAAACTAGCATGTTGCTAACATGGATGAATAGGTTTTTAATACATTGCTATTATGTTTTTTACAATTAACAAGCAGCTAGCATGAATTAGCTACAGCATTCAGATCAATCTGAACGTTTTTTAATCAATTTATTAAAGATGATTTAATAAACTTTTACATCTTAGAACAATGGGGCAATTAAAGCACAGAATCAAGTCAGTTAAATATGAAGTTGTTTATTTTGCTGCATTGTAAATCATAGACTCAAGGAACAATTGAAAGGTCATGTTATTCTTGCAAATAATATCCCTTTTTTCTTGAGAGTTCTTGTAGACAAAATATGGCAAGAAATACATTTTCAAACATTACTCTTTTATCAGAATGTACACAATATATCCATAAATAAGTACTCCTACCTTCAACAAATAATATATTAACTTGCATTTCAATCCACTAAAAATACAACTAAAAGCATTTCACAAATATTTCCCCCCATGTTTTTTTTTTTTTTTCGTCATAAATGTAATGGCTGTTCTGTTTACTTTTTTATTTCCTAACAGATTTCCATCCATTCTTGTTTTAAAACAGTATTCAATATTAAATGAGTACCTATAGGGTGGATTTTTAAAGGTGCGTTTAAATGACACCAACGTACTAAATATGAAAAATTTGCACTATTTTGTGTGCAGGTAAAATGCTATTGTGTAAATGAACAGCTGAAAAAAAAATCTGTTTTTAGTTGCTGTGTCTTTAAGAAACACTCCACTTTTTTGTAAAAAGGCTAATTTTACAGCTCCCCTATAGAGTTAAACCGTTGAGTTTTAAATTTTTTTTAAATCCATTCAGTTGATCTTTGCGTCTGGCAGAACACTTTTAGCTTAGCATAAATCATTGAATCGGATTAGACTTTTATCGCCTCGTTCAAAATTTATAAAAAGTTTTATAAATTACCTATTTAAAGCTTGACTCTTCTGTGACGAGATGCTAATAATAGTCTAATTTATTTCAATAATATATATGCTAAGCTAAGTGCTACACCAGACTCGGAGATTGACAGAACAGGTCTAAAAATGGTAAAACTCAACAGTTTTACTCTGCGTGACTTGTTAAATGAGGCTTTTTTCCAAAAAAAGTGGGAATGTTCCTTTATTTCAAAACCATCCCCGTTTATTAAAGGTGCATTTAAATGACATCGATGTACTAAAAATGAAACATTTGCACTAGTTTGAGTGCAGAAAATGCCATAAATGAACAGCCAAATAAATACAAATCTTTTTGTTTTCAGTTGCTACACTGAAAAAAAATATTCTGAGATGATTCCTCGGATTTACTCATTTTTTTTTACGTTAAGTGGTTGTAAACAGTTTATTTGTGTTGAATTTAAACAAATTAAAGTTGAACATCATTAAACTTAATTTGTTTGTTTAAATTCAACACAAATAAATTGTTTGCAACAGTTCTGCATGCAACACTTTTTTCAGTAGTCTCAAAAATGAAATATGTTTTTAAGAAACACGCCACTTTTTTGTAAACACTAATTTTACATCTCCCCTAGAGTTAAACCATTAGTTTTACCATTTTTCATTCTATTCAGTTGATCTCTGCGTCTGGCAGAACACTTTTAGCTTAGCTTGACATAAATCATTGAATCAGATTAGACCATTAACTTCTTATTCAAAATATTTAAAAGGTTTTTATAAATCTCCTATTTAAAGCTAGACTCTTCTGAGCGAGATGCTAATTGTCTAATTTATTTCAATAATATATATGCTAAAATAAGCGCTCTCACCAGACTTAGAAATTGGCTTGACAAATTCAAATATGGTAAAACTCAACAGTTTTACTGTTCCTTTGCTTCAGAACCATCCCAGTTTATTGGGTGCATTTATTAAAGGTACAGGACACCGTTGTACTAAAAATGAAACATTTGCACTAATTTGTGTACAGGCAAAATGCTACTGTGTAAATAAACAGCTGAACAAAGAAAAATGTTTTTATTTTTAGTTGCTGTGCGAACATAGTCTCAAAAAGAAAAAAAATGTCTTTAAGAAACACTTCAAGTTTTTGTAAACAGACTAATTTTACTTAGAGTTAAACCGTTGAGGTTTACCATTTTTTAATCAATTCAGCCGATCTCTGAGTCTTTTAGCCTAGCTTAGCTTAGCATAGATCATTGAATCAGATTAAATCGAGAGCATCTCCCTCAAAATTTTAAATAATTTTATTTCTATTTTAAGCTAGACTCTATTTAAAGCTAGCTAGAGCAAGGCGCTAATGGTCTAATCTGATTCAATGATTTATGCCAAGCTAAGGCCTTTCCCCAGACTAGGGCAGTTCAATATGTGTTCATCAGCATTCTTGCATCCTTGTGTAACGTCATTATCAACCGCCAAAATTCAGTGAAGGTTTTCAGCTGTGTTGTTGATATTTAGGATGCGTGGATGCAGACTTCTGAATAAAGGAGGTGGAAAGCACAGCGTTTTATATGGATTTATGATTAAAGTTCAGAGATAAAACTTTTTTTAAAATCTGTATCCCTAAATGAGACGCTGAAAGTAAACATTAACAGGAAAAATTTAATAAGGGCATAAACACAATGAGGGCGTTTATTTGCTGAAATTCATATTAAAATTAGTTTTATTATAAATTGTGCAAAGTAAATTTGTAGGTTTGAGTGCATGTTATATAGATTGAAAAGGGGAAAACAGTAATTCATTGTATTAATGCTTTAATGTTTAAATCATTTTCAGTTATAAACGCATGAAGGTCATGTGACCATCAGGAAGAACGCAGCATCTCATTTCTCACACGTTCTCTATTTTCGTGTTTTCCCGAGTTTATTCTTCCGAGGTAACCTGGCAAGAATGGTCTCCACAAGAACACAAGTACATTCTTGGAATTGAGAAACAGCCCAGGAGATTGGCTAAATGGACTAAAAAACTGTGTGACTTAAAATGAGACTATTTTCCAAAAAAGTGGGCCTGTTCCTTTATTACACCCCAACCTTTCGTTTAATAAAAATTCAACATGTGAAATGTGGTATCGCTGCAGTACAAAACGTGGCACTAAAATCTGCAGAAAGTGTACCTAAATGTACCTACATTCTTATGGCAGCGAGACTGAAAATTAGATTATATTGGCCAAGTTATGACTTTATAATTACTTTCTTAATTTTAATAAGTTATATTAAGTTATAGCACCGGTGCTCAACCCTGTTCCTGGAGATCTTCCTTCCAGCAGATTTCAGCTCCAACCCTGATAAAACACACCTGAACCAATTAATTAGGAGCTAAACACCAGTTGATAATTACAGGCAGATGTGTTCGATATGGGTGGCAACTAAAACCTGCAGGAAGGTCGATTTCCAGGAACAGGGTTGGTCACCCCTGAGTTATAGGGTCAATTTCATATGAGGAGATTCATTCATCTTCCTTCGGCTTAGTCTGTTATTCATCAGGGGTCACCAGGTTGGAATGAACCACCAACTAATCTTGCATATGTTTTACGTGGCAGATGCCCTTCCAGCCGCAACCCAGTACTGGGAAACAACCATACACACTATCATACACGCATACTCATACAATACAGCCAATTTACCACATGTTTTTGGACTGTGGGGGAAACTGGAGCACTCTGAGGACACCCACGTGAACATGGAGAACATGCAAACTCCACACAGAAACGCCAACTGGTCCAGCTGGGACTCGAACAAGCAACCTTCTTGCTGTAGCTCATAAGATCCTCGAGCCCAGGGCTTCCTCTGATTGCAGGGCAAAGGGGGAGTTTGAGCTCAGGTAGGTCTCGAGAACTCCGCTGCTGTAGTAGCTAATGAACAGATAGTGATTGCTCTAAAGACATAACTACTTACTAGAAGCATGTCTATGGTGCTGATTTGGATTAGTCAATTAACTTAAGTTGCATGTTATTGGATTGTGGGAGGAAACCCGGGAACCTGGGGGAAACCCACGTGAGCATGGGGAGAACGTGTAAACTCCACACAGAAACGTTGGCTGGTTTGGTTAGGACTAGAACCAGTGACGTTTTGCTGTAAGGCGGTAGTGTTAACCACTGGTCCACCGTGCCACCCATCTCAGAAAGGAGAAGGAGTAGCGGAAAGGGAGATTCTTAAAGACGAAGATGGCTTGATACTTAGGGTATTTATATTGACTAAGGAATAATCTGATTGGTGAATCGTAAATTGAATAATGCATGACCAGCTGTGTTCAATCATAAGCATGTGATCCTCTTGAAATTAGTTCATAAATAAACGTCAGTTATCCATATTAGTATGGAAAGTTGGCAGTTTATTCCGTTGTGGCAACCCCCCTGATGAACAAATGGACTAAGCTGAAGGAAAATTAATTAATGAATATTAATATCCAATATTCATGCTGATTTTTAATTGCATATTATAATTTTTAAAGTCTTTCGAAAAGTTATAATAAAGCCATACCCATGTTTGATTGGTTAATTTTACCATTAATTTTCAAACAGCCATGCGATGTTCAGTAATAAATATGGCATTAAAAGATTTCAATTGAAATAACTGATGGGGAAATACAGCAATTTTCATGACATTCTTCAAACACAAAAAGAAGTTTCACCAACATTTCTCTCATTCTGACCAGCAGTACCCTACATTATCCCTGCGAAACGCCTTAAAATTTTTATATTCCAAATTACAGTCCTTTTTTAATAATTAATAAATCATAAAAACATACAAAATGTGACGGTATTGTACACAATAGTTTTTCTTCTCTTTTAAAAACGGTATAAATATTCCACATGAGCTCCATTTTGTAGGATAGATCACTTTTAAGTGCATTTCCAGCTCCAGCTTGGTTTTCTGCACCTCTTGGCATTGGTCCTGTCAGAACGAGTCTGTTTGTCAAGTAATGGAGGTTTACTGTCTAAATGCCTGCTTTTGTTCTGGTTTATAGTGGTTGGACTTGTAGTGCAATGAGTCACAGTGACATTGGCACTCTTTCTTCATCAATTGCCAAATCTGAAATCACACCTGTAGTCTTCATGAGAGCCACTTTGAGCGTCCTCTTCTTTTCTTGGTGTCTCTTTAAGCGAGTGTGAAGGGTCACCTTGGCGAAGGCCCCTTGTAGTATCCTCTGTGCCAGTGCAACAGTGGCAAAGCCAAACATTTCTTGAAGTGCTCCAGTTCGGCCTGCATACGATCTCGCTTTAGTGCCAAATTGTGCTTCTGTGCCAACAGGTCCTAATTATCAGGGAAAGAAAGTAAATAAATTAATATTTTATACTCTACTTGTTATTATATGATGCCTAATAAACATCTAATAGACATCTAAACATAGATTGGCTAAAAAAATTTGGGGCTATCAGTGAACATCTCATAAACATCCAAGAATCGCCTAAAACTAGACTTTATTGGCATTGATTGTTTTGAAATTCAAATGGCATAAACATGGCTGTGTTTTTATTTCTGTAATAAATATGGCTGTCAAGCCAGGATCTTGATGATTTATAGTGGGTTTGTTGTCCACATGAAGAAATCTGTGTTACAAGTTAAACAAAAATTAGAATAAACATTTATATTTTAAATTTTAATAGTTTTTGTCTTGCGTTTACATTCATTTTACATTTGAATAGCCAAAATTACAAGTTTCAGTCTTTTAAATGTGATTAATTGCAATAAATTTTCAAAAAAAGTGTGATTAAGTAGTTAATTTTTTTTATCGATTGACAGCACTATTATATATATATATATATATATATATATATATATATATATATATATATATATATATATATATATATATATATATATATTAGATTTTCACTGACAGTCTAAATTTATCCTTGTTTCAGCCAAGAAGTCTACTGTACTGTATGTTTAGAAGTCTATTAATAACAAAATTGCTTGATGGGTCTAGTCTTACACTTTCATTATGATTTTCATGTCAGTGCAAATGACTCAATATGTCTTTGCCTGAATTCTGTGAAGTGGAAATCTTTTTAAATTTATTTATTCTGAAGCAAAGAAGACTGACTTTGGAGTGGCCTAGTCAAAGTCCTAATCTGAATTCAGTTGAAATACTGTGGCATGACCTTAAAAAGGCAGTTCATGCTCGAAAACCCTCCAATGAGTGGGCCAAAATTCATCCACAGTACTGTTACAGTGTATCGACATGCTTTGGTGAAAATGCTTGATTTGGGCAATGAGGTGGTTTTCTCTCCCAGAGTGAGACCCCCTTAAAGGGATTTACATGTTAGGTCAATGCAAAGATGCGAATAGATATCCTGTGGCATGACACATGAGAATGACGTGATTCGCACAAATGAGGCAGTGCGAATGACACGATTCGTCGAAATGAAGCACAGTTGAACATTTTGCATGTTTGCATAGACATTCGCGCTGCGTTAACAAGCTTTCTTTTGTAGGCTATGACGTAGTGCCTAGTGTTGGTGTCCCGAGGGGAAATCTTCTTACCGACACCGGACAACAGTTGGAAGCACCGCAGAAAGCCTCCATCATCCAGGATTAGTTTCTGGAGGAGTTGATAAACTCACTAAGCTGGGTGCAACTCAGAAAGAATCTAGTGCCCTCAGACACGGCACAAAACGTATATTTAATATTTTTTAGCCTTCCTAAAGTATATAAACACAGCTGTTCTCTCAATAAAATCCACATTAGCCATTTAGCAACAAAGCTAGAGTCACCGGGCAGACATAGAGTAAGCCCTGCTCGTGATGCGAATCCATGTCTATTGTAAAGTGAATTTGACGTGTGATTGAAGCGAATTTGATGTGTGAATGAAACGAGTAAACTCAAATTGTTCACGCGCCTTTTTGTGCAAATAGCAGAATTTATTCTAGCGTTCTTTGTTTGGTGTAAACACAGTATGAATGTGCAGCTAAATCTGTACCAGCTCTGCTACGTGACTGTCCAGTGTATTTAGGTGGCAAGTGTTGTTTTGGTTTGTGACTCCTGTGAAATGAGAAATGAATCAGAGTTTTGGAATTATGTTCACCTGTGTCTTGTTTGGTTTCTCGTTAACCCCTTAATTTCTGTAGTCTTTTTTTTTGCCTGGCTTTATCAAAGTTATTGTGTTTATCTTTACATGTTTAAAGCCCTGCTCACACTGAGATGCCAGCCATGATTTGGTCAAATGAGACATATTTAAGGATAAAATATTTGTGCGTCAAATTCACTTCACAATAGACGTGGGTTCGCGTCATGGAAGAGGCATCTGTCTGCCCGGTGACTCTAGCTTCATTGCTAAAGGGCTAACATGGTTTTGTTGAGAGAGTAACTGTGCTTTATGTGCTTTTGTTTGGCGCCGTGTCTAAGTGCACTAAATTTTTTAAGAGGTGTTCATCAACTCCTCGAAAAACTTTACCTGGGTGATGGATGATGGAAGCTTTCAGCAGTTCTTCCGACTGAGCCGAGCCCAGTTTGATGAGATGTTCTCTCGTGTTGTCAGCGGGATTTGCCCTTGGAACACCAACAACAGGCTCAAAATCAGTCATAATCAGGCACATACTAGAGAAAGCTCCTGATTGGGAAATGTCCGCTTAAGTTCGGATTTCCAACTCGAGCAAATCACGATGCAGAATCTCAATTTGCGTCTTTGGATTGACTTAACATGTAAATCCCTCGCACTTGACGCTTTATCCGCGACTGATTTTAAACGCATTTGTTTATGTTCGCCTTGAGGTATCCATTCAGAAGACAGGATAGATGAATGACGTCAAACTTCAAGTAAACTTTCTTGCATGTGTCTGTGTATGTTGGGTCTTCAAATATTGTTTAAGAGTCACGAAACACCAAAACACATTTTTTGAGATGTTGACAGTCATATATGTATCCCACACTGCTAAAGGCACTATTAAAACACATATATTTAACAAAAAAGTAAAATGGGGATCACATTCAGGCAGCCTGCTAAGCTACAATTAAACATATACTAAAAACATTTCCCATAATATAAATATATATAGAAAGAGAGACATTCTTACCCTCATGCTATGAGAAAGCTGTTCAGCTGTCACTGAGAGATTGTAATGCTGCGTCTCTAGACGTCTACACTCACTCTGGAGAACATGGTGCTCTATACTTCTCTCTGACAGACAGATAGAGAGACAGGGAAAAAAGAGAAAGGTGAGCAATGCAATACAAACCAACCGCGTACAAATCAAAGCAGCCTGTAGGTGTCACATTAAATGCAGTTAGTCAGATTTTCACCAGCCACTTTATTAAGTACATCTGTCCAACTGCTCGTCAATGTCAATTTCTAATTATTCACGTGCAACCATCTCTAGGGTTTACAGAGAATGGTCTGAAAAAGAAAAAATATCCAGTGTGCGGCAGTTCTGTGGGCACAAATGCCTTGTTGATGCCAGAGGTCAGAAGAGAATGGCCAGACTGGACACAGAAAGGCAACAGAAATAAACAACCAATCGTTACAACCGAGGTATGTAGAAGCTTATCTCTGAACGCACAACGAACCTTGAGGCAGATGGGCTACAGCAGCAGAAAATCATACCGGGTGCCACTCCTGTCAGCTAAGAACAGGACACTAAGACTACAATTCACACAGGCTCACCAAAATTGGACAATAAATTATTGGAAAAAGTTGCCTGGTCTGATGAGTCTCGATTTCTGCTGCGACATTCGGATGATAGGGTCAGAATTCGGCATCAAAAACATGAAAGCATGGATCCATCCAGCCTTGTTTCAATGGTTCTGGCTAGTGGTGGTGGTCTAATAGTTTGGGGGACATTTTCTTGGCACACTTTGAGCCCATTAGTACCAATTAGTGTTGTTGCTGACCATGTCCATCCATTTATGACCACAGTGTGCCCATCATCTGATGGCTACTTCCAGCAGGATAATCCACCATAGAGCGTGAATCATCTCAGACTGGTTTCTTGAATCCAATAGAGCACCTTTGGAATGTGGTGGAAAGGGAGATTTGCATCATGCATGTGCAGCCGACAAATCTGCAGCAACTGAGTGATGTTATCATGTTTAAATAGACCAGAATTTCTGAGGATTATTTCCAGTAACCTGCTGAATCTATTCCATGAAAGATTAAGGAAGTTCTGAAGGCAAAGGGGTTCCAACCCGGTACTATCAAGATGTCCCTAATAAAATGGCCAGTGAGTGTATTTCAAACATCACCTGACAGTTCACGAAATTTTGTTAGCATGTAACGCAAGAAATGCAAAGGTCTGATTGGTTTATGTACAGTAAGCTCACCTTCTATGTACTCTTCATAGGCCGTGAATATAGATTCGATGCCTTTCCACCTGGGACTAAAGGACTCCTCTTCCTCGTCTTCATCCGAACTGATGCCCTCTCCAGCTGAAAGGTCATTGCTTACGACCGGAGAGTCACGGTGGGCTGATACCGGCCAGGAGTGGCCATTTGTCTGTCTGATAGGGAGTTTGTTCACTGCCCTCTGAAGGCCTGGAGAAGGATGTGCTACGGGGTCAACCTGCTCATTCACTCCTGCTGAAATATACAGGGATATAAAATGGCAGATTCATTTTAGTTGAAGTGTTATTTTTGCAGAATTGTACTTTACTTTAATTAATCAACTTGAGTGTATTTATGAACAAGAAACACACTTTTTACTTCTAATAATTGTATTTTTTAAAATTATTTACATTTTTTATTTTTTTTTTCTATTTCATGCACAATAAATATGCATAGTATTAGCTTCTTTTATACAGAAGCTATGAAAAAATTGAAAGAGCACTTTAAAATTCTCAGTTCTACTGGATTCATAATTTATTGTTTTGTGTTTGAGTAAAACGTGATTCTTTATTCTGTAAACGACTGATGACATTTCTTCAAATTCCAAATAAAAGAAGCTTTGTTTTTACAATAAGAATGTGCCATTTTATCTGAAATGCTTCTTTACATACGTAGGGTGCTTTCACATCTGTAGTTTGGTTCAATTGGTCGAAACCATAGATACACTAGATATTGCACAAGGACCCTGAGCATGCGTCAATAGCGCCGCCACATTGGTACAGTGCTCCATGGACAAATGTCATTCAACCGCACTAGTCAAAACAGTGTTTTTACGTGAAGATGCGGGACTTTAGCGCTGTCTACGGGTGTAGTAACGAGCAAATAAAGAAAACAAAGCACAAAGGCAGAACATTTCATAGGTAAGATTAAGTTTTTTAAGTTTTTGTATGTTCTGAACTTTTGTGCTAAACACAGGTAACGGTATTGATGATAACAGTCACTTACTGCATTCCCCATAAGGCAAAGTAGCTCCAACTCGCACTAAATACTCAACTTATGCTAGTTTTGTTGAATAAAATCAGCAAACAATGCAAAAATAAATTTGACAAAGAGATGCAGTGGTGCCAGAAACTTGTATTATTGTCGGCTAAATGAACGAGACGTTCATAACAGAGATTCATTCACAAACGAATTGCTCCCTCCGTCAGTATGAGAAGTGAAAGCAGGAGAGGAGGTGTGTTTCAGGACACAGATTAGATCAAATTTAACATGGGGGGGTTGGATAGTACATTTCTGTACACACAAACACAAGTTTTTTGTCAGGAATGCCAGTGCGATCACTGATTCATCAATGTAGAAAAGTGATGTAAAATTATAATTTTCGTAATTAGAAAAAATTAATTACAAACTAACATTCAGGAAAACTCCCGATCATAGATATATGTGTATATATGTGTATATCTCTGGCTTTGGATGGCCACAGTCCTACACTGTACCTTTGTCCCGCATTAATTTTAAAGAAGCGCTACCCTGTTCCAAAATGGCGGCTCTATTGACGCATTTCTCCAATAGACAACAACAGGGTAGGCGACATCTAATGTATATTTCTATTGGTCCGAACCAAGAGCAACAAAAGGTACATTGTAGCTTTTTCTGTCGTCTTTGGGTTCTTTTCACACCACACTGATTGCTTTAGTCCAAACCAGTTTAAAAGAATTAAAATGCAGTCATCTGACAAAACCCATATCACTCATTGGCCAGATGTTGTTAAACATTTCCCAAACTGCTTATCGATTGGTCAGAATTCACATGTGGGAAAATGCCAGTTGAGCTCCCGCAAGTAAACAAAACCGGCAGACACAAAATGTCACTTTTGACTATGGAGCTACTACTGCACTAGCTGATTGTATCCCTGCTCATAGTATACTATATAGTTTGTATACATCACTTTAGACAAACTATACATTTTGAGAATAAAGTGGCTGTGGCTGAAAAGCACTGCAAAGACACATCATACGTCACTTTAGGAGGAGGGGTAAATTAATTTTACTAAACTATGACATGGCCATCTTCCGGAAATATTACCAATGATCCATCAGGTAATGTTTTTCCCACTCTCTCTCTATTTAAAATTGTTTGCAAAGCGCTGTCAAGGTACATCAATAGAAGAATGAAAAAGAATTATGAATAAATGATATAATTGGGGTCTGTATAGTGAGTGACTGAGTGACTGAGTGTGTGTGTGTGTGTGTGTGTGTGTGTGTGTGTGTGTGTGTGTGTGTGTGTGTGTGTGCGTGTGTGTGCGTGTGTGTGTGTGTGTAAACAGTAATGTTCTTTGTTCAGTTTTTTTTGTTTGTTTTATTAATTGTTCTATTAGTCTTTATTAATTTCAGACATGGCATATACTATATGCTCTACAATAAACGTGTGGGAAAAATAACTGAAAACTTATTTATATGTGTGAAAATGGTTTTTAAACTAAATGATTTATTTATTTTTCTTTTTTATTTGATTGAATTTGAATTTATCGTTTTTTTTTTTTAGGAATAAATTGCTTTATTTCAGGAGTAATTAATTAATTAAAAGCACATTATTTAATTTACCAGAAACATAAACATAACAATACACTGAATTCATTATTTTTTTGTGTGTGCCACCCCAAGATTTGGTGTGGCCTCTTCTGGCCACCCCTAAGAAAATTTTCTGGGGGCGCCACTGGTTTAAAGTGACATTTAACTAGGTTAAAAGCTTCAAACACAGTTGAAGTCAGAATTATTAGCCACCTGAATTATTAGCCCCGCTGTTTATTTTCCCCCCGCATTTCTGTTACAGAGAGTTTTTTTTTCAACACATTTCTAAACATAATAGTTTTAATAGCTCATTTCTTTTATCTTTGCCACAATGACAGTAAATAATATTTTGCTAGATATCTTTCAAGATGAAACTTCTAAACAGTTTCAAGTGACATTTAAAGGCTTAACTATGTTAATTAGGTAAACTATGCAGGTTAGCGTAATTAGGCAAGTTATTGTAAAACGATGGTTTGTTCTGTAGACTATCTATCTATCTATCTATCTATCTATCTATCTATCTATCTATCTATCTATCTATCTATCTATCTATCTATATATCTATCTATCTATCTATCTATCTATCTATCTATCTATCTATCTATCTATCTATCTATCTATCTATCTATATATCTATCTATCTATCTATCTATCTATCTATCTATCTATCTATCTATCTATCTATCTATCTATCTATCTATAGTATTATTATTATTATTATTATTATTATTACTGTTATTATTATTCTTTTTTTTAAGGGGCTAATAATTTTGATCTTAAAATGTTTCTTAAAAAATTAAAAACTGCTTTTTTTCTAGCCGAAATAAAACAAGTAAGACTTTCTTCAGAAGAAAAAATATTATCAGGCATACTGTGAAAATTTCCTTGCTCTGTTAAACATCATTTGGGAAAAAAAAATTCAACAGGGGGCTAATAATGAAGTTGATTGATTTGCACTGATATAATAATATTCAATAATATTTACTGGATTAATTTCTGCCTTGTCAATGCATTATGCATTACACCACCTAATTTGATCTTAACCAACTCGCCAACTTGAACTGGTTTGGTTTTGTCAACCCAAAACTTACTCTGCAACCCGAAGTTTATTCAACTCTTTTTGTGCAACAGGCCTCAGGAGATACAAATGAAAAAGATTTTAAAAATGAGTGGTGGTCACCTCTGTGTTTCTGCTGGGGTGTGTGAGTCGACTGCAACACCGACTGATGGAAGTGCTGAGCGAACTCCTCTGGGTTTATCCTCTCCCAGACCTGCGCTTTGACTCCGTTGGGTCCCTGCGAGTGGTTATTGGGTCGCGCGAGGGGCTGTTGAGGAGCTCTTCTGCTGGGGGAGCTCAGCTTGTTTCGCAGAGGAGCCAGCGGGGGAGGATCTGGAGGTGTTTTAGGGTTTTCTGGTGAGTGATTTCGGGGTTCAGGATGAACATTATTGACTGACTGACTAAAGTGTGAGGATGCTGCATGACGGAAAAAAAGCAGAGATCAAGAATTAGGCATCTGTGTCTGTACGCTGGTTAAATTTGTGTGTGTCTGCGTGTATTTTTTATACCAGACAGTGTAGCAGGCGGGCTGGAACAGGGTGCTTCTGAGGCATATCTAAGTGTGTCCAGAGTAACTGTCTTCTGTTTGATGGCTTCCAGCAAGTCTGAGATCTTCTTTTTCTCTGGGGTAAAAAAATATAATATAATATAATATAATATAATATAATATAATATAATATAATATAATATAATATAATATAATATAATATAATATAATATAATATAATGATGTTTTTGAACTTTTTGAACACATTTGGCTGCAAACCTGAATAATCTAAATTATTATTTAATTAAATATTTAGAAAATTATTGAATGCAAAATTAATTATTATAATTCTATATTAATATTATATATGTATATATATATATATATATATATATATATATATATATATATATATATATATAATGACATTATTTTTTAATGACATTTATAAATAATTATGATTATATTTTTATTATCTATATTGCTTATCTTAATTATTATTATTATTATTATTATTATTATTATTATTATTATTATTTTTAAATAAGCAAGATAAAAATGTTAGCAACCTAAAATATACATTTTATTTATAATATTTGCACAAGTATTAAATATAACATCATTTTAAAAGTGCACACATTTCATAAATGCAATTCATAAGTACATTTAATTATATACAGTATGTATATTATTCAAAGCTGGCTAAATTTACAATTTCCAAGATAGTCGATATTATTACAATAGGTTTTGTTATATTAAAATTATTATATTTCATATTATTTAAATTCTATACATTTTTTGTCGTAACAAATATATATATATTTTCTAAATTAATATTTAAAATTGTAATAATAGATTTTTATATTAATGCAAAATTATCATGCTTTAAATGATAGACATATGTGATGTTTTGGTATCATATCTAATATAAGACTTGTTGTTGTTATTATGTAAACATTATAAAAAAAGTAATAAAAACATCACACTGTCATTTTAGCTCTCAAAAGACGTATTTAAATACTGTTTCAACCTACAAGTCTATATCAGGTCACACAGGAAACACAAGAGAATGCAAGATAGAAGCTGCGTCCGAAATCACTTCCATTCCATATAAAGCGCTAAAAACAGTATGCGAGCCGAGTAGTATGTCCGAAATTATAGAATCCAAAAATCAGTGTGTGAGAAGTACCCGGATGACTTACTACTTCCGGCAAGATTCTGAAGTGTGCATAGGATGGATGCTAGGTTTTCCTCTGATGCTCCGCAATAAAATTTATGAATGGGAGTGAAGTGACACAATTCACGCAGGTAAGTTATGTGATCATGACAAAATGGCAGATGTAGTACATCTGGATTCCATTCATACTACACACATTCAAACTGTATAGAACATACTTTTTGGCCGAGTAATACATTTTAATTCAAATATAGTAAATACTGAGTAGTAGACGGTTTTGTATACAGCCATAGTCAAGACTTTTTCTATTGTGATCAAGCACCTACTTTTAAGAATTTCCTAGATAAGCACACTGATGTTTTTCTTTTTAAATATTATGTAAACATTTGTATGAACTACTATTTAACACTAATGCTTTTCTATGTGTGTGTGTGTGTGTGTGTGTGTGTGTGTTTGTGTTCATACTCTGTCTTTGGTCATGGTTGACGTGGCTGAGGTTGAAGATGCTGAGGAAGTGTTTCTTGTCGTCCAGCTCAGCGGTGCAGTTCATCTCGTCTGCAGTGAAGCGTGTGCTGAGAGGGGAAGGAGTCCTGCGTTTATTCTCCACGGCCGGCGGCGAAGGGCTCCTCTCCTGGAGCATCAGCCTCCTCTTTCTCCTCTTCATCTCCAGCACCTCGTCTCGCTTCGGCAGAGTCGTCAGGCCAAACAAACCCAGAAACGCCGTCTTCTGCAGACACAACACAAACACAGTACAGGAAATACTCTCTCACTTTCTAAACGCATACAATTCAAGTCATAATTATTATCCCTTCTGTGATTTTCTTTTTCAAATATTTCCCACATGATGTTTAACAGAGCAAGGAATTTTTTACAGTATTTCCTATCATATTTTTTTCTTCTGGAGAATTCTTATTTTGTTTTATTTCAGCTAGAATAAATGCAGTTTTTATTTTTTAAAGACATTTTATGGCCAATATTATTAGGCACCTTAAGCAATACTTTTTTTGATTGTCTATTGAACAAACCATCTTTATACAGCAATAGAAACAAGTTGGAATTAAGCAAGTTTTTCCTTCGTTGATTAATTAGCAAGTTAAATAATATGCCAATTGTGGAATGGGGGGTGGGGTGTTGAACAATCAATAACCTTATTTCAAAACTTGATATTTTTCGTACTCATTTCAAACAATTTTTCTTGATTTTGGAATTTTTAGATATTTAAACTAAAAAGAAGACAAAAATGGTAGAGAATAAACCGGCTTGTGTTTCCATCAAGCAAAAGTCTCCTTGTCTTTTTAAAGTTCAGTTCATTGATCGGTTGTTTGAAGGTGGCTCTAAAAAAGAATCAATTTCATAGACTCCCTATTTTAAAGGAGCTCTCTGCTTTGTTTTTTGTTTTGTTTTGTTTGTTTGTTTTTGGAAATAAGCTCATTTAACAGCTCCCCTAGAGTAAACAGTTGATTTTTAGGACTTTTTCATTTCATTCAGCCAACCTGCAGGTCTGGCGGGAGCACTTTTAGCTGAGCTTAGTGTAACGGAGGCCAGCTAGTAAGTGCTGCGCAGGTAAACCTCACTCCTCTGACCTCTAAAGGTGCTCTAGCTAGAGGCCATGGTCTTTAGCCACCTTGGTAGAGCAACCAAGTCCCAAGCAGAAGGTCGCTGGATTGATACCAGCTCAGAGCGGGTTGGGTGGTGTAGGACCGGTGGGGTTACATTAGCATTAATTATTGAATCATATTAGACTGATTATTCTTATTACAAAAGAGTTTTGATAATTTTCGTATTTAAAGGCTTGAGTCTTCTGTAGGTCCATTGTGTACTATGAACAAGGGAAAGTGAAGAGTTGCTATTGTTTAGGCCAAAATTTTTGCATAATAATCAAGGAAATTTGCTGCTGTATTACTCGGCCACTTTTTTAGGTACAACTTACTAGTAACGAATTGGACCCCCTATTGCCTTCAGAACTGCATTAATTCTTTGTGGCATAGATTCAACATGATACTGGAAATTGGAGATTTTGGTCCATACTGACATGATAGCATCACACAGTTGCTGCAGATTTGTCGGCAGCACATCTATGATTTGAATCTTATGTTCCACCACATCTCAAAGGTGCTCTATTGAATAGAGATCTGGGGCCTCATGTATCAACGCTGCGTATGCACGAAAACTTTGGATTTACTAACGATGAAATAAATGTGAGAATGTGCGCTGGTCCACACTAACTTCATGTCTGGCGTACGTGCATTTCTTGTGTGTGTTTGTTTTATTTGCATTGGTGACTCCTAAAGGCAATTGTGTTAAATTATGTTAAATTGCACACTACAAAGTGTCTTTGAGCTGTGCAATGGCAACTGTATGGGACGGGATCATCCGCATGTCAAGCAGGTTAATAAGGTTTCAATACCATGCAGTTGACAAGCCAAACATTAAAGCGCAATCTGCAGCAATCGTCGGTTGTCCCAATGTAATCAGAGCGATCGACTGCACGCACATTACTATAAAGGTGCCATCTGAAAACGAATTTACATACGTCAATCAAAAACATTACCAAATAAATTGTGATGCTCAAATGCGCTTAACATAATACACACACTTATTACTGATTCCTACTTGCCTTTCTTGTGATGAAGAATAGGCAAAATCTGACATGTAATGGGGAAAAAAGAAAAATAAGTTCTTATCAGAAGCTGGATTCGAAACGGGTTAAGGAATGATAGTGACAAAACATGTTGCCATGTGCTATAAGAGCTACGCTCGACTATCACTCAAATAGCTCAATCCAACGAGGTGTCCAACAAGACCCCACTGTGTTAACCGCTCCAACTCTTCCACTCTATTGTTCTTCTTTTGTTATTAATTCCGAAGGACAAACTTGCAAATAACACAGTTTTCCTCCGCTCTACCTCCGATAGACACACCTCCAATTCACATTCTAATCAAAGTTTCTCTTTTTGCTTGCTTTTGCCATTGCTTTTTTGTTTGGTTTTGCCAAAGTAGAGTCATTAGCATATGGGGGAGAAGGCAGGGAGGGGTTTTGTGCTTGTTGACGTGCGCTCAGTTTCACATTAATGTAACTCTCATGTACAAAGAGAATATGCGTGGGATTCTGCATATGCAGCGTTTCATACATCTGAATTTTTTACTGCGTATGCACATTTACAGTTTTGTGCGTACGCAATGTTTTAGTATGATTTCAACGCAAGACTTCGTACATGAGGCCCCTGGTCACTGTGGAGGCCATTTGAGTACAGTGAACTCATTGTCATGTTAAAGAAACCAGTCTAAGGTTATTCGCACTTTATGACATGGTGCGTTATCCTGCTGGGGGTACACTGTGGTCATAAAAGGACGATGACACGATACTCAATTTGATTGGCTGCATACCTCATTCGAAACGAGTGGTTATTTGAGTTTCTGTTGCCTTTCTATCAGCTGGAACCAGTCTGACCATTCTCCTCTGACCATTGGCATCAACAAGGCATTTGCGCCCACAGAACTGCCATTCACTGGATATTTTCTTTTTTTTCAGACCATTCTCTGTAAACCCTAGAGATGGTTGCACGTAAAAAAATCCCAGTAGATCAGCAGTTTCTGAAATACTCAGACCAGCCCGTCTGGCACCAACAACCAGGCCACGTTCAAAGTCACTTAAATCACCTTTCTTCCCCATTCTGATGCTCAGTTTGAACTGCAGCAGGTCGTCTTGACCATGTTTACATGCCTGAATGCTGAGAATCCTGAGTTGCTGCCATGTGATTGGCTGATTAGAAATTTACATTAACGAGCAATTGAACATGTGTACCTAATAGAGTGGTGGGTAAATGTACATTAATCTGCACCTGAAAACTATAAAGACAATAGAATACATAAGACATGTCACTTGTATAGTTTTGAATGGGAAAAAAAGGGTAACGGTCAATATGGCCACCAAGGGGAAGCAAGCACAGCACTTAAGCAAAGGAGCCAATAACCATTTGCTATATACTAATGATCATCCAGGACAGAAGCTCAGTCCAGACGTGTATTTTTATAAGTTTCTGCAGCTTCATTGTTATGAACCCTATGGGGTTGCGGTTAATATTTGCCTCACAGACATGAGAAATACATCTACATGAAGCTTGAAATCTCTACAAACCAACTAAACTTGGAGATTAATGTTCTCTGGTTTTGTTACCTATAAGAAATGAGCGTGAGTGAAAGTCTGTCCCTTCTGACCTCATGAATTCACCATTTAAAGGCAAATCACAAGACGGAAACTGATTGAACGCCCACAAACTTTTTTTTAATTATTTAAATTGGAGTGGCTTGAACATAAAACAATTAAGTCGTCCTTACAAAAACCCTCAAGAAATGTGTTGTTTTGGCTTATTTTAAATAAGTAGTTTGAGCAAACAGCAAATGTCATTTTTTGAGTGCACCAAACATTTCGTTGAATGCAAGTTCTCTGAAATGCTACATATGCAAATGAGGTATTATATAAAAGCACTTTTTATTACAAAATTTAAACCCGCTCCAATAATCAATAATACCATAATAGTTGCTGCACCAGTAAATCACGGTAGCTCTTTTTCCCACCATAGTAAATGTCACACAACAAACAATTCAAGCATTCTGTGTCAAACTATTGGCTCAGGCACTTCAGAAGGACTAAAACAACATTTGTGAGGACTGACTGGTTAGTCCAGTTATCCAACAGCCACAGTCACCTGAGTTTTTTTTTCTTTTGTAGCACATATGTAATAAATGCATTTAAGTATAATAAATAAATACCTCTGTAGATGTGTCTAGTTTGAGCGGAGGCTGCTGAGCGACTCTTCTCAGATGAGCTCGAACTTCCTCTTCATCGCTCTCATCATAAGAGTCATCTAAGTCATAATAATAACCTGAAATAGACAGATAATTATTGTTACTGAAGCATTGAAAAACACAAAGGCCACTTAGACACACACAAAAACACACAAATACATATTAGCACAAAGCAGATACATAATAACATTTTTCTGTTTTACATTTAGGCTAAATCTGTCATCAGCTAATTCTCACTTAGAGTTAGCCTTTAAAAGTACTAATAATATGAACACCATTATATATGTAAATTTTATAAAGATATATTAAAAGTTATTTTGCCATATAATACAGTAGTGTAATTTTTGAACAGTAATCTTTTGTGCTTTTAGACTAGTTCCAGTTATGGCTTTAGTACTGACTCATATATGCACAAATGTATTATTGTAAAGCATCCTATAGAAAATATTAATTTAAAAGAGAGCTCTGTGAGAGGTGTATTTTTTCAATCAATTAATCAATCAATAAATAAATCAATCAATCAATCAATCAATCAATCAATCAACCAATCAATCAATCAATCAATCAATCAATCAATCAATCAATCAATCAATCAATCAATCAATCAATCACTTGATCAATTATTCAAATGAACCCACCAACCAACCAACCAACCAGTCAAATGAACTCATCAATCAATCAATCAATCAATCAATCAATCAATCAATCAATCAATCAATCAATCAACCAACCAACCAATCAATCAATCAATCAATTAATCAATCAATCAATCAATCCCACCAAACAACAAACCAAACTATCAATATACCAATCAATCAATCACATCAACCAACAAAATCAATCAACTAATCAATCAATCAAATGAACCCACCAATAAAATAATGAAACAAAGAAGCCCACTAATTAATCAATCAATCAATAAATCAATCAATCAATTGATAAATAAACCAATTGTTTGTGAAATTTAACCATTTATCAATTAATTGATAAATAAACCAAATCAATTAACTAATAAACGAACCAATCTTTTGTTAGTCATTTTATTTAGGAGATCCTCCACCTGATACCTTTCTCTCTGGCCTCTCTGCGCTTCTTCTCCTCCAGGTCAAGTTTGCTGACGAGTCTCCTCTGACCGACCCCCATCACCGGCTCTGATCTCTCCATCTCCAGCCTGATGTCTGCAGCTCCAGCCTGACCGAGCTTCAGAAGGCTGACCCGCGGCTGCTCACCCTCTGCTGGAGCTCTACTGGGGCCTGAGAACGGGTGGATGTGGGACAGAGGACGGTCAGAGGGCGCATGGAGGAGCGAGACGGGGGTCCAGAGGCTGCTGGCGACGGGTGGAGAGCGGAGCTGGTGGTGCTGATGGTGCCGGGGAGCAGGTCTGGGGGTGATGAGAGGTGGTGGCGCACCCAGCGCTGGAGGTAAATCTCGGACAGGCACATCATTATGGTGAGAGCTAAACCTGAAAACAGAAGACAGTATTGGAGATGGCCACAAGAGGGCAGTATGAAAACAGGATTGTTTTTTCTTTGATGGGAGTTAAAGGGATAGTCCACCCAGAAATTAAAACGTCCTCACCATTTAATCACAGTCTAGTGTTTCTAAACTTTTATGAATTTCTTTCTTTTGTTGAAAAAAAAATAAATAAAAAAAGACATTGAGGAATTTTGGAGAAAGGGAGCCATCAACACTCATAGTAGCCAAGGTTATAATAGATTTAGATTTTTCATTAGTTTTAGTTTTTATTTCGTTTGGAATTTTTGTTTTCAAATTCAATTAGTTTCTAGAGGTAGACTAACTAGTTTTTATTAGTTTTTAATATTTTGAAATTGCTTAGTTTTAGTTTAGTTTTTATTTTTTTCAGTATTAGTTTAAGTTTTTAGTTAGGTGCAAGATTCAAAATCATTAGAATAAACTCAACCAAAGAACACTACCATCTACCACTACCATCTACTCATCCTCAAATTCAAATACAACAGCCCACAAGCAGCCTTAAGTAAAAAATATGTAGGGCTGCAACAACGAATTGATTAAATTGATTAAAATCGATTACTAAAAGCATTGGCAACACATTTCACAATTGATTCGTTGTGTAGGGCGATGTGGAGACATTTATTAACTTATTAACAGCAAAGAGCAAAAAAACAAGTGGAGGTAACGTTAAAAGAAAGATACATGGCTAAGGCAGAGAAATCTGTGCGACCGTAGTCATCCAAGGTGTGGGAGCATTTCACACTAAATAAACAAAAGCAGCATGACATAAAAAATTCAAACTGAGCTTTGATGTGAAAGACGTGTCATGTTTTCACAATTATGCTGTGTTTTTGACCACTAAATGCTTATTTTATGTTTTAGACATGTATATACATACAAGTACTAGTAAAACAATACATTTAGAGTTCTTTAAAATACAGAAGAAAGTCTATGAAAGTCTAAAAATCCATTTATATATAATTTGCCGATGTGTATAATTCATATCAGATACAAGTAGTGAAAGTAACTATGAAGTTCACTTTATTTTTCTTCCAGCTTGCATGCATTTTGGGATTAACTGATGAATTTACGTGCTGAATCCTGCGTGTTCTGCTTTTATGAATGAGGCATTTGACTGGACACAAGTAAACATGGCGATGCCCATCTCACGTTATAGATCACAATCAAGATCATTTATACCTCTTTTAAACAACAACAAAAAAAAAAAACACTTACTTATATTTTGTATTAAAACGGAAAAGCATAATAAAAGGGATACATCTGTCATCCAGCGCTATTCTAACTGCGGCGTTTCACGTAACAAACATGACGCGTCGCCACGGAAAGATTGAGGGTGAACGCTCAAAAATAATGACCGCCTAACAAAACTCACTCCCAGTTAAAGAGTTAATAACAGAAGTAAAGCAGCTGTGGTATTGTTACTTTGCTACTATTGTTATTTTGCTTTGTTAGTCAACATGTTTGTGCACTTTCTAAAGATGTTAGTTCTGTTTTGAAAAAAGGGCTGGAAATGAACGTTTTCTTTGCTTTATCCGATTCATTGATTAATTGAAAAAGTAATCAACAGATTAATCGATTATTAAAGTAATCATTAGTTGCAGTTGTTTGGACTCAACATACCCAAAATATGTGGTCAGCAATCATAATTTCAGTTGGTTAAAACATCACCATTATCTGAAAAGTTTCTTACTATTACGTTTTTGTGACCCAACTGAAGGATGATTTACTATTTTCTGTTATGAAATAAACCCTACGTTTCGCCAGATCTTCTCATTCAAGGTTTACCCGGCTGCAGTTGTTCAATTTTAGTTCAGTCACAGCAGGCTGCCATTTACTGTTTGTGTTTTTTGACAGTATTATTGGTTCACCGCTTGTAAATTCTGTTATCTATGTTTACTGTTCTCATAACTGAATAACTCAGTATATATTAGTTTATTTCGAGTCAGAGGGTGGTATCAGACATGTTAAGTAGTTTGTGGATATGTGCTCAATGTCACTAGAGACGCGAATAATTTCAAATGATTCAGATCGATTTGGTGAATTAGGTCAACCGGTTCACTTAAAAGATCCGATTAAAAAGATTCATTCGCGGTCACTAATACTAAAATAAAACCTATTATTTGGCACAAAAGACTTAAGTAGCTTGATATAATATAGTCTCAGTTAGATCTAGCTAAAAAAAATTACATTTATTTTATTTTAGTTAACAAAAAATATTTTTCAATTCTAGTTTTCGTTTTTTCATTCATTTCATTACCATAATACCCTTGATAGTACCAACAAAAAAAAAATACAATGGAAGTCAATGGCTGTTTTTTCCAACATTATCCAGAATATCTTCCTTTGTGTTTAACAGAAAACAGGAAGCTCAAACAGATTTAAAACATGTGGAAGATGAGTAAATGATGACAGAATTTACATTTTTTTGGATGAACTGGACCTGTAACCTTTGTTAAAGTCGTGTTAAAGGAATAAAACTCTATTGATTAACACTAGGGTAGTTGTAAAACATAATAAAGGTAATTAAAGTTAAAAAGTGAATAAAAATGAATGTAATCACAATAACTAGTTCGTTTTTAACTGATCAACACTAATCACTAATAACAACAACACTTTTAGTCTTGCTAACATTCTGAAACATCAAAAAGAAATAAAAGACTTTGGAGTCTACTTGCATTATATTAAGGTGACAAACTCACTTTTTTGCTAAATGAGTGAGGTTCAGTTACTATAGCACATTTCCACAGTTTGCTGTAGTCTGTATTACACACACACACACACACACACACACACACACACACACACGCACACGCACACGCACACGCACACATTACGCACACACATGCACACACATGCACTCACACACACACACACACACACACACACACACACACACACACACACACACACACACGCACACACACGCACCTGTGTATCTCCCTGTGTGCTTCTGCTGTTCGGCCAGCGCTGTGGTGTTTCTCCTGCTGCTGAAACTCCTGTCCGTGCCGGTCAGTTTTCTCCACCTTCATCACTCTCTGTCTGGCCAGCCATCTGTCGTCCTCCTCTTGCCGCTGGAGCATCATGGGAGTTTCCACAGGCCTGTGACTTTTCCCAAACAGACCGCTTGTAGAAAGACTAAAGCCTGAGACGGAAGAAGGAGCTCCTGAGGAAGAGTAGGAACCAGACTGAGACAGCAGCTGTGGCACTTCTTTGTTTTTGTCTGTCAAGAGAAGAAAGATGAAAAGATGATGAACTCGTTGTTTTCAAAGCGGAACAACTGTAAATGTTTAATAAGTGTATAAATATATTATTCTTATTGTTAATATGAATATTTATTATTATTTATTCATTCATTCATTTTCCTTGAGCTTAGTCTCTTATTTATCAAGGTCGCCACTGCAGAATGAACTGTCAACTATTCCAGCATATGTTTTACATAGCAGTTGCCCTTCCAGCAGCAACCCAGTACTGGGGAACACCCATACACTCTCCCATACACCCATACACCATTCACACGCATACACTCGAGCCAATTTAGTTTATTCAATTCACCTATAGTGCATGTCTTTGGGCTGCGGGGGAAACTGAAGCACCCGAAGGAAAACCACGGGAACACAGGGAGAACATGTAAACTCCACACAAACCCAGCCTGGACTCGAACCAGCGACCATCTTGCTGTGAGGTAACAGTGCTAACCAGTAAGCCACCGTGCCACCCCATTATTATTATTATTATTATTATTATTCATTCATTTTCTTTTCGGCTTTGTCCCTTTATAAATCAGGGGTCGCCACAGCGGAATGAACCGCCAACTTATCCAGAATGTTTTTACACAGCCCATGCCCTTCCTGCCACAATCCATTTCTGGGAAACATCCACACACGCATTTCTTTGGACTGTGGGGGAAACCGGAGCACCCGGAGGAAACCGGAGCACTCGGAGAAAACCTGGCCAACACAGGGAAAACATGCAAACTCCACACAGAAATGTCCAGGCTCGAACCAGCGACCCAGTGACCTTCTTGTTGTGAGGCGACAGCACTACCAACATATTATTATCACTATTATTATTATTCTTATTAAGCAGTAGTAGTAGTATTCATATGAATATATATTTTTTATATTATAGAAATGTTTATTTATATATATAAAATTATAATTTATATATAAATTAATGTTTTGTATTTTTCCTTTATTTTCATACTTTTTTATAGTAATTGTATCATTACTACATGAACTACAGACTAATCATAGCAAAAAAAGATAAAAAATGGGAATGTCTTTTAAATTTAAATTTAGAAGTACAGTGTTATTTTAGTATTAATTGCATAATATTAGAGACATTTTAACATATTCAATTGTATTTTGATTTATGCAATTTTTATTTAAATATTAGTATAATTGTACATGTTGTTGTTTTTATGTTTTATAATTATGAAAAACAATATAAAGACTGGGGGACACGGTGGCTCAGTGGTTAACACTGTCGCCTCACATCAAGAAGGTTGCTGGTTCGAGTCCCAGTTTAGCCAGGTGGTATTTCTGTGTGGAGTTTCCATGTTCTCCCATGTTTGTGTCGGTTTCCTCCGCGTGCTCCTGCACAGTCCAAAGACATGAGCTATAGGTGAATTGAATAAATTAAAATTGGTCGTAGTGTGTGATTGTGTGAATGAGTGTGTATGGATGTTTCCCAATACTGGGTTGCAGCTAGAAGGGCATCCTCGTTGTAAAATATGCTGGATAAGCTGGTGGTTCATTCTGCTGTGGTGACCCCTGATGAATAAAGGTACAAGGCTGAAGGAAAATGAATGAATAATTCAAAATTAAATTACAAATTATAATTTGGGTTAAATTTAGTATTAAACACAATTAAATTCTACATTGTTTATTGTATGTTTTTTAATCACAACTCTGTCATTACATTGTTTTTATAGATTTTTTCTCTAAGCTTTTTTATTTTAGTGATTTAATTTCTCTTAGTTAGCTATTTGTTTATATTTATGTTTGTTTATTTATATGTATTTAAGTAATTTTTTGTTAATTTGTCAGTACTTTAACTTATTTCAGTTAGGAAACATTTATAATATACAGTTTTTTTTAAATGTATAATATTTACATTTTATTTTTTAGACATTTACATTAAATGGAATGAAAACATTATTGCTTCCAGTTGCTTCCACGGTAAAAAAAAAAAAAGGATTGAGTTCCACACAATCCTTTTGTGTTAGGACAACATGAAGGAATTAAGTTTACTCATTAGTTTGCGAATGTAAGTTGGTTGAACAAAAAAGAATAAAGTTGTCCCCTAAAAAATCAAGCATTGTGTTGTTTCAGCTTATTTTATGCAAGTAGTTTGAACAAACAGCTAATTTTTGACATTTAAATGTTGAATACAGTCCTGAACTGTGGCTATTACTTAAGCAGCATATACACTCACTCACTTTATTAGGTACACCTGTGCAACTCCACCTTAACACAAGTTTCTAATCAGCCAATCACATGGCAGCAACATATAGACATGGTCAAGATGATCTGCTGCATTTCAAACCGAGCATCAGAATGGGGAAGAAAGCTGATTTAAGTGACTTTGTATGTGGCATGAGGCTGGTCTGAGTATTTCAGAAACTGCTCAACTACTGGGATTTTCTCCAGGGTTATCAGACGATGGTCTAAAAAAATATATATATATCCAGTGAGCGGCAGTTCTTTGGGCGCAAATGCTTTGTTGATGCCAGAGGTCAGAGGAGAATGGCCAGACAACAAGCAACAGTAATTCAAATAACCACTCGTTACAACCGAGGTATGCAGAAGAGCATTTCTGAATGCACAATACGTCAAACCATGAGGCAGATGGGCTACAGCAGCAGAAGGCCACACTGGGTGCCACTCCTTTCAGCTAAGAACAGAAAACTACAATTCGCACTGGCTATCCAAAATTGCACAATAAAAGATCGGAAAAACGTTGCCTGCTCTGATGAGTCTCGATTTTTGTTGCGACATTCAGATGGTAGAGTCAGAATTTGATGTCAACAACATGAAGCCATGGATCCATCTTGCCTTGTATCAATGGTTGAGGCTGGTGATGGTGGTGCAATGCTGTGGGGGATGTTTCCGTGGCACACTTTGAACCCTTTAGTACCAACTGAGCATCATGTCAGTGCCACAGCCTACCTGAGTATTGTTGCTGACCATGTCCATCCCTTTATGATCACAGTGTACCCATCTTCTGACAGCTAATTCCAGCAGGATAACACGCCATGTCATAAAGCTCAAATCATCTCAAACTGGCTTCTTGAACATGACTATGAGTTTACTGTGCTCAAATGGCCTTCGCAGTCACCAGAACTCAATCCAATAAAGCACATTTGGGACGTGGTGAAACGGTAGAGTCGCATCATGGAAGTGCAGCAGACAAATCTGCATCAACTGCGTGTTGCTATCATGTCAATATGGACCAAAATCTTTCCAGTATCTTGTTGAATCTATGCCCCAAAGGATTAAGGCAGTTCTGAAGGCAAAAGGGGGACCGGCACTGTACCAGTAAGGTGTATCTAATAAAGTGGCCAGTAAGTGTACATTTGCCAGGTGTTTTATAAGAGAAGAAGCAACTAGAAAGAATCTGAAGCAGTTTATGTGCATCAGAGTGTTAGATCACAGGATTCACCTCAAGGTTCTCATTCATCCTCTATTACACAATTATAGAGAGCAACCATCAACTCTTCTGACTTCTGAGGAGGTTACAGCCAAATCATGTTAACAGCTGGCGGCAGACATAATGGGCTGAAAGCGTCCTTTGGGTTTCCCCAAACATCCACCCTTCCAGATGCAGGAAATGATTCATCACACTATATTAATTACTGATTTCCCAAGAGCGATGCAAGCGGAGCATCTTCAGATACTGGGGCTGAAGGGAATGTCGGCGTTCAGAGAAATACATCATGGGATTGGATTTTACAATTAATCATAATTTAAGTTTGGAATGTACAATAAGTGAGTGATGAGAGGTAAATAAAGTGGTGATGTATTTTTCCATTTAGTATTATGAACATTAATAATTAATAATTTGCAAACTTTGGCATGGGTATGGATTGTTGGTATTGCGTTTGTTGTTAAAAATAAAGAAAAAAAGCAAATTGAGGGCTAAAATTGACAAAAAATATAAATAAATAAACGCCTCCCCTGTAGATGTATAACAATATTGGGTGTACGCTACAAATTGTCAAGTAAATTCATTTATTTACTTTTTATCTTAGTCCAGGGGTGTCCACACTCGGTCCTGGAGGGCCAGTGTCCTGGAGACTTTAGCTCAAACTCTACACAGAAATGCCAACTAACCCAGCTGAGGCTCGAACCAGTGAACTTTTTACTGTGAGGCTACTGAGCTACCCACTGCGCCACCATGTCACCATCAAGTAAATTAAATATTAAAATTATTCACTTATGGTAATTTACAAATTATAAACAGAAGTAAACAAAAACCAGCACGCTGCCACTTTAGCACTCAAAAGACTATTTAATTAGACAGTGTTTCAATTTTCTTAAGGTGACAATATTTTTACTTGTTTTAAAAATACTTCTCAATTTAAGATATTCAATTTAAGAATTCAGATGCAAATATCTCTAAGTGCCGTCTGAAATTGTCTTTATTTATTTACATTTTTTTTTAGGTTATTTTATAAATGACAGCTGGATCAGTTGGCATTTCTGTGTGAAATTTTCATGTTCTCCCCGTGTTGACATAGATGTCCACCAGGTGCGTGTTTTCCTCACAAGACTGTAATTGAACTGAATAAACAAAATTGGCCGTAGTGTATGAGTGTGTGTGTGTGTGTGTTTCCCAGTACTGTGCTGCGACTCGAAGGGCATCCAGTGCGTAAAACATATGCTGGAATAGTTGGCAGTTCATTCCGCTGTGGTGACCCCTGATAAATAAAAGACTAAACCAAAGAAAAATGAATGAATGAATAAATGAATGAAACAAGAAAGAGTAAACAGTAAATACTACTAGTTTTAAAATGAGCTGAAACAACACAATTATTGCATTTTTTAACAAATCAAGTCTGTAGAACCCAGTATTTTTACAGTGCATCTAAAGGCTTAAACGTCTGAAGTTTTCATTTTGGACTAAAAACAAAACTCTAAGAAAGACAATATCTACACTACCTACTGGAACCCACATGGACCCAAGATTCTCACCGAAATCAGTCAAGTTTGGTGAAGAAAATATCATGGTTTGGGAAAACATTCAATATGGGGGTGTGCGAGAGATCTGCAGAGTAGATAGCAACATCTACAGCCTGAGGTATTAAGACATTTGTGCTGCCCATTACATAACAAAAGAGGGCAAATTCTTCAGCAGGATAGTGCTCCTTTTCATACGTCTTATACGTTATTTGAGTCATTGCAGAGGTGTATGAATGCAGTCCTCCAAGATCATGGAAGCCATACACAATATTAGTGATTTTTTCACTGCACCATGACTTTATTTTGTATTCTGTACATTATTTCTATTAAGTGACAAAACTTTTGTCTAAGCACAGTCAGACCTTACTGTACTATTTATATAATAAAAAAATAAGGCTTGGTCATATTTTATTTTGGTAAAATAAGCATAATCTAGAGGCCTTCGCCTTTTTATATAATTCACTTCTGATACCAAATGATCTACTAGAAGTCAAGCGATTATTTGTTGTTCCCTAAACTTGGATAGACGACAAGACTTTTGTCAGGTAGTATATTACTTGCAATGCATAAAAGGTAATATCCTTAAACACATAATTGATGCACTTTCTCTGTGTGTTTCTGACTTTCATACCGGGTCTGTGCGCAGTGAGTCTGTCCTCCAGCTTGGCCCGCTCCTTCACCGGCTGCAGGTGTGGAAACAGATGAGTCTGCGAGTGAGAGATCAAGTGTTTGCTGGCCGGCGGCTCGTGGCTCAGGTGGCGTTTCTCCACGGCCTTGACCGGCTGGATCTCTCTGGCGCGCTCTTTTTTAATCTCGACCTCTCTCTCCTTCTCCCTCTGCACCTCCTGCTCCCACTGCCGTTCCCGTTCAATTTCACGCGTTCTCTCCTTCTCTCGCTGCCGTTCCCTCTCCTGCTGGCGAAGCTCCTCTTCCATCTGCAGCCTGCGGAGGGTCCAAAACACACGGACGGGTGTGAGATGCAACACTCTCGACGGGAATGGGAAGAATTGAGGCCGCAGGAACACGGCGGAGTGTTGATGATGTTTTGGGGGAAAAGAGCGTGTCAAGGTGACATCCGAGCATCTTCTGCTCATATTTACACACAAAAACATCTGCCAAATGTCAGAATTAGCAATAGGGTCTGTGTTGTGTTAAACGTGAGGGTGTCGACTAAAGAATCGTTGATCAGTACTGCAGTAACGGATCACAAATCTCACGGTTCGGCTCACATTATGCTCACGGATCGGACCATTTGTCAGAGGAGGGGAGGAGACAAATGTAATTTGCTTTCCATTTATTACAAAAACAGTATTGCGAGACACTTTTGATTTTAACAAACAAAACTTAGAGCCTGTAAATTTATTAAAAATAAAATTAAGAAATAATCAACTAAACTAAAATTCACTGTTAATACTACTGTTGCTGATGCTGATAACATTAAATGTAGAAATTAAACATTAGAATTTGTGCAACCCATATTTAATAAATAATATAACTGCTGCCTACAACTTTCATTTTTAACCGCTGTTAAATGCATATGATGGTGATTTTAATCTTGGTGACACTTTATTTTGATGGTCCAATTGAGTATTAGTAGACTGTCTGTTTAATATCTGTTTGCAAGTACATGTCAACTTACACTAACCCTAACCCCAGCCTAACAGTCTACTTATAATCAAATGAGAATTAGTTGGCATGTAGATGCAATATACCTTAATTCAACAAATGGACCATTAATATAATGTGTGACCTTAATCTTTACCATAAACATCAGTGGTTCTATCTAAACTATAAACTGTTATCCCAGTACTTCTGTGTTATTTGACTGTAAACTAAAGAGCTCCATTTTAACGATCTAGGTGCAAAGTCTAAAGCGTATGGAACAAAAGCATTGATGGTGTGTTCAATTCTACTTTCGCTATTTTAAGGACAGAAAAAATACGGTTGTCGCTGTGGCGCATGGTTTAACAGGGTTGTGCTCATGAGTTATGAGGATGTTTTGAGCATAACGTGCATTCAATCCCTTCAAGAGTCAGTTGCTATTTACATGTCAGCGGACTTTGTAAGAATCTGTGCAAGGACAAAGAACTAGCCTCCTCCATTCGGCCTCTTTATGTTCTCTTTACTTTACTTTTACTCTTTACTTTACTCCTTTACTTTCGTGAATAAGGAAATGGTGTTGAACGCACTACACGCAAGACATCCATTAACCTACATAATTAATTTTGTTTGTTAAGTGCAAAGATTTGTTTCTAATTTCCAGCAAACAAATAAATAAACAATAATAATGAAGTGTGGTCAAAAGTGTGGTTATATCTAAACACACGTTCTATTTTTATGCCCCATATGGTGATGCATATGTCCACTAAACTAAAACCCAGTAGGAAGATAAATCTAAAATTGTTTTTCTTAAAACAAATATAAATATGCATATAATAAATAATACTGCAACTAATGAATACATTATACAAATGCAAATTGTCATGAATAAATTGAAAAGAGCCCCTGGTCATGAAGGCATGTACAGTAGGCAGTGGTTTATGTTTTTATGTAGAAAATAATATTTTTTGTAAAATTTTAATCCTTAATTTTTTACATATGTAAAGATATTTGTGTATTGCTGTACATCCTGTGTGTATTAAGCAATGTGTAAGCGCTTGGACCGCAAAGGCGCATAACTGCGCTGGACATTAGAGCAGCTTTTACTTGGTCAATGGTGTGGTCTTTTTTTAGTTTCTCAAAATAGCAACTTGCCAACAAAGCACCTTAACACACCTCCTTTTTAGACCGGCACACTCATGAGTCAACAGTGGTGCAAATAGATTTGCTATTTAAACATTGTTACGCAAATTGTTAAAATTAGGGTTGCGCTGGTCTGAAAATAGCAGCAAATTGCGGCAAACATGTCTTGTGCCTTATTGCGCCGGGTGTATGATAAGAGCTTGAATCTCTTTCTTGATTTTTGCGTTTTCAGATTTGAAGGCAGCGATTCGAAGGATTAATAAACATATGCAAATAACAAACATGTATAATTTATGTTGCGTGGGTTCTGATCTTAAATTGATTCATTGTGCAGCTTATACATGCATTAATGCAGGCTAAACAAGTGTGCCAGAAAACACCTTTAATAACCCAAGAAACCCATCACATCCCGAATAACCCACCGCAACCTCACCATCATCATTATATTTTACAGAAAAGTCTAAATGTTTTGATACATGGGATTTGAATGATGCAAGAGGCGATCTCTCTGCAATTGTTACAAATTTAGGATTAATCTACAAATAAAAAAAATATATTAATCCAAACCGTGTGTTCTAAACCCCGAATTGTAATCCGTATGAATCATGGATCAACCGTGATTCATTACACCCCTATTGAGGAGAGTTGTTTAATGTTATGTAAATGAGCTTTAGTGTGATACAGCATGCTAATGTCCAAACGGAGAAGAGATCTTAAAGTTCGGATGATTTGCATATATGCAGCGAAGTATGTAAATAAGTATTTGGTAAAAAAAAATATATATATTATAATAATAATAATAATAATAATAATAATTAATAATAAAAATAATATTTTGACATTGTGGGAACATTATTTTTGGTCCCCATGAGGTAAAACAGCTCATGGATGTATTAAGGATTGGATTTGTTTATTCCTTTCAGTGAATTTAAGGCTTTTTGATGCCTAAATTGAGCTTTTTTTGACATTTAAAGAAGACCAATAATGAAAAAAGTCTCTTTTATAAGAGGTTTAAACACAGTGGTGTGGTAACAATATGTGAATATAAACAGCTTTTAATGGTAAAAAATGAATATTTTCTATTTTTCATAATCACATTTCATAAAAACATTGTGCAGAAACACTTTGATTGACATTCTTATATTTGTAAATGTCATCAGAGAAGGGAAGCTCCGCCCATTAGAGATGATCACTCCCTCATTAGCATGAACAGCCCTGAGTGAGAAGCAGCAGTCCGCCTCTAGAGTTTAAATCAACTGCTATGGTGACCCATAGGGGTTTATAGCTTCAACCTCTATTAAAAAGAGGTTTGGGAGCACAATCTCATTTAAATTTAAAGCGACAGTCACCAAAACGGCTCTATTAGGTTCAAAACCTAAAAGGGGGCAGTTTCAAAGAGTTATAAAATATTATTTGTGGAGTATTTTGAGCTGAAACGTCACATACACACTCTAGGAACATCAGAGACTTACTTTACATCTTGTCAAAAGAGGCATGATAGGTCCCCTTATTAAAACCCCGCAGATACCATGTGTGTGTGTGCACTAGTGTGTACCTGTCTGAGTGCAGTGCTGTCAGTGCCTGGTGTGTGACGTCAGGAGGGTAGAAGACGCCTGGTGTGGGCAGGTGAACAGCCGATGGGTGCAGGGCCTCTGGAAGCTGGTAGTAATGTGAGCGGAGGGCTGACAGACTGTAATAATCCTCCATCCTAAGAGAGAGAGAGAGAGAGAGAGAGAGAGAGAGAGAGAGAGAGAGAGCAGCTAATGAATGCTTCCAGAAATAACCGTGTCATTCATTAACCTCTGCTCTCTGGCCCTCTGACATCAACAGTGCTGCCTATTTCTGTCAGAGCCACGCTGAGACTGATACTGTACAGAGCCAGAGAGACATACAGTAATGTTCACACAGCAGTCCATCAGGATCAACGACAAGACAAAGGTGAGCAATTCCAGCGTCATCGATGTGACATTTGCAGTAAAAAACATTAATTCACAGAGAAAGTATATGTTAACATTATATTGAAACATGTTTATTTTTTCTACTAACCAGAATTCAGAAAAATATGAATCTGTAAACATATTTTATGTATTAAATGAGGAAAATAAACATGAGTCATGGATGTGATCAGAAAGTCTACGAGTTTACAGTATACAACATTGTAGAAATTCTATAAATTAAACTGCACAACCCAAAATAATCAATGCTAATCAATTAAGTACATAGAATAAAAATTACTGATTATATTTTATTTTACATTTTTGCATTAATAAGGAAAAAAAGCTTGGTTATAGGGTTGAAACCTCTCTGTTAAGGATGTGACAGATGTGAAATTGCCACTTCTGTGACTTTGATACATCAAATATAATTGTTTGACAATGACAACATTGACAGAGATATTTTTGAGTATTTTTGCAGTACTGTAAAATTACACGCCTAGACAAAACAGACAAAAAAAAATAGAAAGGGTTTTGCTATTTCGGTGAAAACTTTATTTTTTCATGGCAAGGTTGACATTTGCATGGAATTGCTCAGGTGCAAAAAAATGTCTCGTCGGTGACATCGGTGTCAAATTTAGCCATGGTACATATGGTAATATAATAATACAATCATAAGATGCAAAAAAAAAATTGTTACATTAACTGATATAATAACATAAACAACTTTAAACTGTTGTGTGTTACTTTATTGTACATAAATGTTTGGATTTAAATAACAAATTCAACTGCAAAACGTACATAAAAATACAACTGAACGTAAGTAAAAAAATAAAAAAAAACACTCCACTTTTTTGGAAAATGCAAATTTCACAACTCAGTTAAACAGTGGAGTTTTACCACTTTTGAATCCATTAAACTAATCTCACAGTCTGGCGGGTAGTACTTTTAGCTTAGCTTAGCTTAGCATAGATAATTGAATCGAATTAGACCGTTAGCATCTCACTCAAAAAAAATCATTCATTCATTTTATTTTCGGCTAGTCCCTTTATTAATTTTTGGTCACCACATAGGAATGAATCGCCAACTTATCCAGCATATGTGGAGATTGTGGAGGAAACCGGAGCACACTGTGGAAACCCACACAAATACGGGGAGAACATGCAAACTCCTCACAGTAATGGCAACTGACCCAGTCGGGGCTATAACCAGCGACCTTCTTGCTGTGAGGTGATCATGCTATCCAATGTGCCACCCTGATGCCTCCAAACAATTTTAATCATTTTAAATCTTCTTCTGTATTTCCGATATGGCTGGGAACTACACATTTATCAAGTGTAATAACCAAGCGATCCGGCTTTGAATGGATTCAAAAATGGTCAAAGTCAACTGTTTTACTCTAGCGGAATTGTAAAAAGAGCCTACTTTCAAAATAAAGAGTTATTTAATGTTACATAAAAAAATGGACATCATCTAAGATAAATAAATGCTTTATCATGCATTTTGTTGTGATGTTAACAAATGTAGCCTTTTTGCAAATTGTTAACATTCAATAACCAAATAATATTCTAAACAGTTTCGCACAATATCTCGGTCATGTGGTTGACTAAATTAACAAGTAAAACTATTTATGTTTAAAAATAAACTGCCTATTCCTAGAACAGACTAATCTTAAAACATTATCTACAATGGAATCAACTAATATGCATAATTAATAAACATAAACAAATAAAAACAAAAAAATGATATGCATACACAAACACAAAAATTCTGTCTTGATGTTTGTTTTTGTCTTTAGTCTAAGTTGTGCATGTGTGTATATATTATGTGTGTGTGTGTGTGTGTGTGTGTGTGTGTGTGTGTGTGTGTGTGTGTGTGTGTGTGTGTACACGTGTTTGGCTCACTGTCTTGTCTCCTGCACATGATTTAATGGCTGTAATGAGGGATGTGATCCCCAGACACACACACACACATTTACAAACTGAACAGACGAGCTCATCTCAACCTTCATTTCCACATACGATTTAATACTAGATGTCATTGCATTATAATCTGCTCGTTTAACAATTCTGAGAGAAGATAAGCATTCGCCCCCTTTTAAAACTGAAAATTGTATCAATTTCTTTGTAAACATAGACAATATATTTTGGTTCATTTAAACAAATGAGTTTTATTAAGCAGCTACAGTGGAGAAAATATGGATTGAGTATGTATTGTTTTCAGTCAGGTGATTGGCTGGGCCATTCTACAGCTTGATTTTCTTTCTCTTAAAGCATTTGAGAGTTTTCTTGGCTGTGTTTTAGATCATTGTCTTGCTGATATGTCCACTCTGGGTTCATCTTCATCATCCTGCTAATGTAGATGTTGGACTGGAGCAGCTAATATTAATTTACAGTGATGAAGGGTAAAGAGTTGCTGAAGAACTACTGAGAGATTTCAGCTGCTGTCTGGACTTTCACTGCCTTTCTAAACCTCCCTTTCTTCATGTGTTTAATATTTTTCCCTGCGTCATTTTATTTTATTGTGCATAACTTCATTTGTAAAATAATTAGATTTGTTTTCTTTGCATATATGGATTTCTTTGGTTGTTCTGAGATTTCCAGGGAAAATTTCAAGTCAATGGCACCTTTAGAAATATGTTTTCTGAGATAAAAGACGACATGTTGAATCGTCTTTCCCGTTGTATATTTAAAGAAATTTCAACTACATAAACAGAGGAGTGGTCAAAATAAAGTGCGCTCCTATTAATAACCCATATATGTGGACACACACAGCAGTGAGTAATGAACACACACATTGTGAACACACACCAGAAACAATAGCCATTGGCTTTGTGGTGACCAGGCAGGAATTATGGGATTTGGTGTAATGTCTGAAAAAATCTCAGTTATGGGTATTGATAGTGGAGGGGAGTAGGGCTGTGCGGTTAATCTAAAACAAACCGCAATCGGCATTTAAAATGTTGCGATTAGCTAATCATAAGAGGCTCCGGTGTGGAACATATACAGTATGTATTATTTAATTTCCCCCACCCAGAGCAAATGTGTGTCTGCCATCTGTTTACAAGGCAATTGAATGAGCGCACTTTCGTTCTGCCCAATTAGAACTTTTCTATCCGCCTCTTATCAGCCATGTTAGTTTGCTGAATGTTCTGTATTTTTAGTTTTTTTTTTGTTTGTATAATAAGCAAAATATCTCCCTAATTTGAGTTGAATCTGTTTACAGGGGGGTAAGGCAATTTTATGTGTGCTTACCATTTTCTTCAGAAAAAAATTAGTTTAATTTCTGAATATTTAAAAACAAACTTGAAAAAATGTTATAAGTTAAAATCTTTTCAATTCCTATTTGTATCTACCACTCCTGCATCTTAGTAGTAAGAAGCTATAGTACAAATTATTGAGCTGAAGATGGACTACAAAAATCCTCTAGTACTAGGGATCAAACCAGCAACCTTTAGGGTACAAATCCGAGTCACTAACTATTAGGCCACAACTGTCCCCTTCTAGAGCTGCAAATGGGCAGAAAATTTTCAATAATTCAGGAATATACGTGAATTAACAGGAATTTAGAGGAATTAATTAGAAATTTTGGGATAATGTATATAAACTATCCTATACAACCATAAATATAAACAAATTGTTTTGTCATACGTTTTTAAAAATCTGTCAGTAAGCTGACATACAGTTTAAGTAAGAATTATTAATAGAGCAAGGACATTTTCTAAGTATGTCTGATAATATTTTTTAAAGTCTTACTTGTCTTATTTCAGCTAGAAAAAAACTGATTTATTTTTTTAAACACCATTTTAAGGACAAAATTATTAGTCCCTTTAGGATATTATTTTGCCAAATTACCCTAACCTGCCTAGTTAACCTAACTATCCTAGTTAAGCCTTTAAATGTCACTTTAAGCTGTATAGAAGTGTCTTGAAAAAATATCTTATCAAATATTATTTACTGTCATCATGACAAAGAGAAAATGAATCAGTTATTAGAAATTAGTTATTAAACTATTATTTATAGAAATGTGTTGAAAAAAATCTTCTCTCCGTTAAACAAAAAATGGGAAACAACAAACAGAGGACTAATAATTCAGGAGGGCAAATAATTATGACTTCAACTGTACATACAAAATTCTATTGTTTTATCTTAAAGACATTTTATCACTTGACTTTATTTTCAAGTGGAACAATGGGCAGCTAACGCCTAAAGGTTATAAAAAAGAACAATTTGTTGTCTCGCAAATTTGAGTCTTGGCATCACAAGAGACTTTACACTACCTGACAAAAGTCTTGTTATCGATCTCAACAGCAACAAATAACAACTTGACTTCTAGTTGATCATTTGGAAAAGTGGCAGAAGGTAGATTTTTTTTCAGTGAATCATCTGTTGAACTGCATCCCAAGCATCACAAATACTGCAGAAGACCTATTGGAACCCGCATGGATTAAAGATTCTCACAAAAATCAGTCAAGTTTGGTGAAGGAAAAATCATAGTTTGGGGTTACATTTAGTATGGTGGGGCGAGCAGAGTGGATGGCAACATCAACAGCCTGAGGTCTATACTCTATACTGGACATTATTTCTGTTAAGTGACAAGACTTTTGTCTAAGGAAATACAGACATTACTGTTCTAATTAAATAATTAAAATTCAAGGCATGACCTTATTTTATTGTGGTAAAATAAGCGTAATCTAGAGCCTTTCATATAAGCCACTTCTGATACCAAATGATCAACTAGAAGTCAAGTTATTATTTATTGTTCCTAAAACTTGGATAGGCGACAAGACTTTTGTCAGGTAGTGTAGTTGGTCAATAAATACCACTCTTTCAATAGTTAACTACAGTATAGACACTATAGTTATTTGCGATCTCATTTTAACACCATTTATAAAATATATTTATCAAAATAATAGCAAAACATTTAATGTATTTACTTATTATTAATTTCCAATTTCGCTATACGAAAGTGTAGTGACAAATAAAGGCTTGATTGATTGATTGATTGATTGATTATTAACTTATTTCAACTATTTGCAATTACAGAATTTTTGTAAATTCCCTTTAATTCTCATTATATTCTCAATATATTCCCATGGAAAGTTTCCAGATTTGAACATTTCTGAAATCATGCAAACCCTTTTTCTTTCTATGTAGAACCACAGAAAAACTTCACCACGCACCTGTATGAAGCAAGCGAGGGGTGAGGCAAATATCCTGAGTGAAAGTATGCTAGAGTGTCTGCAGTTCCTGGGTTGAGCCCTAGAGGCATCAGAGGCATTCGCAGTTCTTCAGCGGAGGCGTACGGACGGAAACCATCGCGAACATACTCCTCCTGAGCCCCTGCTAGCAGCATGTGAGGAACCTGTCGGGACAGACTGAGGGAAGAGCAGACAGACACTTGATGTGAAACCTGACTGCTGTAGGACATACAGGTGTGGAGATGTGTGCTGTACTGACTGAGTTTGCAGACGGGGGTCCTGCATGAGGGCACTCTGGGTCATGTTGAACGGGTGATATGGAGGGAGGGAGAGAGAGGGCTTTTCCTGGGCTGGCAAAGGGCGATCTGGGGCTAAACGCTCCTGGCCAGACAGTCTCAGTCCTGCATCAGCCTATAAAGAAAACATTATTTAAGGGCATAATGGGAACAATCTGCAGATATTTTTTAAATTAAAATCTATTAATTGATTTTATTTGAATGTTTAAAGATTCAGCAGCCAGCAGACATGTATTATTACATATTGAATCTATGGCTGTGTGTACATCATTTTTGGGTTAGTTCACTCAGAAATGAAAAATTACATTTTTTATTTTATATATATATATATATATATATATATATATATATATATATATATATATATATATATATATATATATATATATATATATATATATATATATATTTTTTTTTTTTTTTCCCCCCCAAAAAAATTTCTGTTTAACTGAGAGCAGATTTCTTCAACACATTTCTAAACATAATGGTTTAAATAACTCATTTCTAATAACTGATTTATTTTATCTTTGCCATGATGACTGTAAATATTATTTGACAAGATATTTTTCAAAACACTTCTATACATAAAAGTGACATTTAAAGGCTTAACTAGGGTAATTAGGTTAGCTAGGCAGATTAGTGTAATTAGGGAAGTTATTGTATTATGATGGTTGTTTTGTAGACTATCAAAAAATGGGGTTAATAAATTTGACCATAAAATGAGTTTTAAAAAATGTAAAAATGCTTTTTTTCTAGCCAAAATAAAACAAATAAATCTTTTTCCAGAAGTAAAAATATTTTGAATATTTCCTTGCTCTGTTAAACATCATTTAAGATATATTTAAAAAAGAAAAAAAATCAAAGGAGGGCTAATAATTCAACTATATATATTAGGGTTGGAGCTCAATTCAAACCTGCATAACATGAATGATAAATGATAATAATGACTTTAATATGTTTATTAATGCTTCTAAGCTAAATCTGCATTTGATCGAGAGAGATTCGGGTTTTACACTTTTTCAGTGTTCAACACATCACCATCAAGGTGCTGTTGACTTTTTACTAGATGTTGGTAGCAATCAAAGAAATCAATACATGCAAATAAAACAAATCTAATTATAGTTTACAAATTAAGTTGTGTGTAATAAAATAAAATGACGCAGGGAAAAAGTATTGAACACATGAAGAAAGGGAGTAGTAGAAAGGCAGTGAAAGCCCATACAGCAGCTGAAATCTCTCAGTAATTATTTCAGCAATCCTCTGCCCTTCATCAGTGTAAATTAATATTCACTGCTTCAGTCTAACATCTACATCAGCAGTACGATAAAGATGAAATCAGGGTGAACATATCACAGACAATGATCCAAAACACAGCCAAGGAAACTCTCAAATGCTTTCAGAGAAAGAAAATCAACTGTGGAATGGCTCAGCCAATCACCTGACTTGAATCCAATAGAAAATACAAATAAAGATCAGTTTGCGTAGACGAAACCAACAGAACCATCAGCGTTTTTACAGAAAGTAGTTATTAAAACTATTACCTATGTTTAGAAATGTGTTTACAAATCTTCTTTTCTCTAGACAGAAATTGGGAGGAAACTATACAGGGCGGCTAATAATTCAAGAGGGCTAATACTTCTGACTTTAGCCATATATATAGTTGAAATAAACAAGATTAATTTAAACTATGCACTTGCTGAATTTTTGTAAATTTCAGTTTATTCACGTTAATTCCAAGTATATGTCTTCAGTGGTTCACTCGGAATAAAAAAGCTACAAGAAGACTTTTGTGCGCGCATAAACAAAAAAAAATGACTTCGTTCAACAGTTCCTTCGACTCAATGTCAGTATATCGCGCACATTCACATACTTCAACTAGGATAGATGTGCATGAGTTTCTATGACTTGAAAAAAAATCACAGACACATCTGAGGTAATTCATCAGCATGTGGCCGAGCATGACACGCTCATCATTTTTGTTAATATACTGACACTGGACAATATGCGCAAAATACTGACACTAAGGAGAATAACTGTTGAATTAAGTCATTATTTTTGTTTGATTGATTAATTCTTAATCAATCAGCAGTCGCCAAAGCAGAATGAACTACCAACTTATCCAGGATATGTTTTACACAGCGGATGCCCTTTTAGCCGCAAAACAACCATACACTCACATTCACACTCATACACTACAGCCAATTTAGTTTATTCAAGTCACCTACACCGCATGTCTTTGGGTAGTGAGGAAAACCTGAGCACCTGGAGGAAACCCACACCAACAGGGGAAGATGCAAACTTCACACAGAAATGCCAACTGGCCCAGCCGGGACTCGAACCAGTAACCTTCTTACTTCTTATTTATATTTGTTTTTATATTTGTTTTTAATATTCTAATTAATCCACTGAAGACTTGTATGACTGATCTGAGGATGATTTTTGGCACCTTTCTGGATGATTTAAGAACCTGGTCCCACTTTATATTGTGGCCTTAACTATTATGTACTTACATAGGAATTAATAGTTTGTTAAAATGTACTTATTGTGTAAATACATGTATTTACTTTTACTTGATTAAATACATGTATGTAAATACACTGTTGACCATCCCTTACACCTTAACCCACCCTTAAACCTATCCAAGCCACCAAACCTGTCTATAACCCAACCTCTATCCCAACTCAAAAGCACCACAAGTGTTCTCAAATACATTATAAAAACAGTAAGTACATTGTATTTATTTACTTTTTTGATGTAAGTACATAGTAGTTAAGGACACTAAATATAAAGTGAGACCAAAAAACCTTACTGTCTATGGAAGTTGAGGGAGCTCTCAGATTTCCCCTAAAATATTTTCATTTGTGTGATTAATGTGTGTCAGGGCATTGGAAAGACATGAGGGTGAGTAATTAAAGACAGTTTTTTTTTTTTTTTGGGGTGGGGGGGAGGGGTGTGAACTATCTTTCTAATAGCATCTTAATTCAACCGCAAACAAATGTTCATTATGTGAATGGGATGGCATGGGTCTGTTGGTGTGGTCGCGAAAAACAGAAAAAAGGCAGCAGTGAATTTCCTGCGCTCTGGCTCCTCTGTCTCGTCTCTACAGAAGGCTCTTTGTGTAAACAGAGAGGCCAGTTTGATCGGGGGAAAGTGCCTATTGTCTCTCTTCATGTCCCTTGACTGCAGGGTTAAATACACTCACAGAGCCACACAGAATGACAACACACACACTCGAGGCAAGATCTTGCTGTCGCGCCTGAGAGAGACTGAATTAGCAGACAAACAGGACACCCGCAGATCAGTCCATTTGTGCTAATCCAGGCCAGTTGAAACCCTGTGCTGCCCATTCAGAGCGGATGCACATGGTCAAGCCCTCCTAACCACACAAGCACAACAGCAGCCCTGAGAATAAGAGCTCTGGAGAGACAGGACTGTTCGTGTCGATGAGAAAAAAAACATATGGTTTTTATTATTCAAATCAATGAGCTCACACCTGATGAATAAAATGTTATGACAACTTCAACCTCCTTCAAGGTCTTGATTTTTGTTGTTTGCTTGTTGTGAATATGCTTTTCAGTGGACAGCTTCATAAAATTGAGGAACAATACTTCTTTTTTTTTTTTTTTGAAACATGCTCGTTTTATTTCTTTCCTAGAGTAAAACAGTTGTGTTTTAGTTTTAAATCCAATCAGCTGATCTGGTGGGAGCACTTTTAGCTTAGCTTAGCATAAACCATTAAACCGGATCGGGCCATTAGCATCTTGCTCAATTTGTTTTCAAAAAGAGTCAGCCTCAGTCTATGATGTAACTACAAAATAGGCAAGCCTTAGATAATATATATATATATATATATATATATATATATATATATATATATATATATATATATATATACATATATATTGAAACTTTTTTGAACAGATGAGATTAGGTGAGATGCTAATGGTCTAATCAGATTCAATTCTTGATGCTAAGCTAAGCTAAAAGTGCTCCCTCCAGACCCTGAGATCAGCTGAATAAATTTAAAAATGACAAAACTCAACTGTTTACTTCTAAACGATAAATGGATAGATAGATGGATGGATGGATAGAGGGATAGAAAGATGTATAGATCGAGGGATAGATAGAGGGATAGAAAGATGTATAGATAGATGGAAAGATAGATGGATGGATGGATAGATAGATGGATGGATGGATAGATTTGGATAGATAGTTTTGATTAGATAGATTTGGATACATGGATAGAGTGTTAGCATTTTTGAATTTATTCAGCTTCTCTTCAGATCTGATGGGAGAACTTTTAGCTTAGCTTAGCATAAACCATTGAATCGGATTGGAACATTAGCATCTTGACCATTAGCAATTTCTTTTTAAAAAGAGTCCACAATGTAACTACAGAATAGCCAAGCTTTAGATTAGAAAATTATCTTTTACTTTTTTTGGCCTTTTATTAGTGAGAGGCTAATGGTCTAATCAGATTCAATGATCTATGCTAAGCTAAGCTAAAAGTGTTCCCGCCAGACCCTGAGATCAGCTGAATGGATTCAAAAAGTATGAAACTCAACTGTTTACCTCTAGACGTTGTAAAATGTTTATGTTTCCAAAAAAAGAGTGTTCCTTTATATATATAATTTAAAATACAAATGAAAAATAACTGTGTTTGTTTATGTCAGGGGTGGACAATTGATTTTTCAAAGGGGCCACATTAGACCTTGGGCTGATTTTTTTTTGTTAGTTTTTTTTTTTTTTTTTTTTGAGGAGTATGCTGTTGTATTTTGCACTGTCATTTTATTTGCACATCTGTATTTTGTACTGTCTGGAGCCAGCACCTAAGCTTTTCACTCATCATAGCACATGTGCTGCTAATGATGTGACAATAAAAGTGATTTTTTTTTTTATTTGAGAGACCAGACCAATGAAGTTTATTTGTTTTCAAAATAAATAAAAAACATTATGCGAAACTGTCACGCACGACTCCATTTGAAATAACAAAACTAAGCGCGCAAAAAACACTATATGTCCCCTTTGGTTGACTCACAATAATAGGCCCTGTTTGTAGTTGAATTTAAATTAAATAGATACTGCTAATGTTCATGTATTGTATCATACACTACCTGTCGTCCTTCAGACCTCCAGAAGCCATTGACTGTTTTAGTTGGGGCGATGGTGACCACAGGTGGAGTGCCTGTGGGCGGGGCCAGACTGGTACCCATGGCAATACGTTTAGGTGTACTGACTGGAGAAATCCTATTGGTCACCGGGGAGGAAACATGTGATGACTCACTACTAATAGAACCTGAAATAGAGAAGAAAAAATATATATTTAATAAGAATAACATTTAATTGTTTCCTCATTTGTTAAAATTATGACTAAAATGTATTTATTTTCTTATCAAATATAAATATTGAACAATTATTTAATATTTTCAATGCATTAAATATAATTAGACATTTTTAGAATAATTTAAAACAAAAAACTGATATACAGTAAGCAGCATGTGTACACCTCTTTCAGGTCTCTTTTTTCACTTAATATTTTCTATAGGAGGTTTAACATTAAGGAATGTGTGTATAAATTACATAAGTCAGTACCAAAGCTTAAACTGGAACTAATCTAACAGCAACTTACGATGACGGTTAGGGAATGCTAGGGAGAAAATGAATTATATATATATATATATATATATATATATATATATATATATATATATATATATATATATATATATATATATATATATATTAAAAGTGAAGACAACCATAAGAATTGAAAAGTTTAGTTTAGAAATTAAATGTAGTATATTTATATCTAGGAACTTTTAATAAATATAACTCTTAAAAGCACCAACATATACTGTCTATATTCACTGAGAAATGAAATTAACTTTCAAAGCAGGTGTACTTATTTATGTTGTGCACTACACCCTATATTTATATTTAAACAACAGTTCTGTCTGGTCTTGAATTTGATTGGCTGATAGCCGTGCTATATATTGCAAATAACAGCAATTGTACAGCTTCTTCACTTTTGTGTATTTCTCCACCCACATGCAGCGACAAGCAGAGGACACTCTACAGTTTGACAAATATTGCTGCTGTTGGACAACATAATGTTTGAGGCAAGAATGTAGTTGTTTAGATTGCAACTATGCAGTTTATTTATAAGTATTGTGTCTATTTTAAAATATTCATAATTTTGGAGATTCAGTGCATCAGCTGCCATCAGCTTGCTATACTTAGAAGAGCAAAGAATGTGACAGTTGACATTCCATGACAAGATGGTGACAGAGGCTACATAATAAGTCCACAGAGAGAGAAAAACTCAATGATTTCTCAACGTAAGTTTCAAACTACAGCTGAACATATCATTATAGAACAGGTAAGTGACATTCTAAGTCGATCTCTTTCTTTTGTATATTGTAGTGCTGCATTTATACCACAGAAACTGCTAGTGTTTGCTTTTCTTTGGCTTTTTTGGGATTAATTATTGTGATCTACCGATTGCAACAGAGAATAATTGGGATTTTTTTGTAGACTGATGGCATTTCATGCCGTTCAGCCTTATAATCTTAAATTGTGAGCAAAAAAATCACCTGTTTGTCATCACTTTAGACATTAAGCAAGATAATCATTCTAATACTAGCTCTAAAGTGACTTTGTAAACTGGCAACAGTTTCTGCTGTTCTGACCTAAGCTGCAGATGTGAATGAATGGTGGAGGAAAGTAGTTCCTCATTCAAAAGTGTTTTTAAGACTCTCCGTGTTTGATTTTCTTTTTTATACACACAATTATGCCATCGAAGTGTTGTATAAATGTCAATATCAGATACATATACAGTATATGGGGGTCACTAAGGCACTCGGCCTGCGTCCTTGAGCCAACGCACGCCTGAAAATACAGCCATACCGCACTTCAGCATGTCTGATATTATTTTTTTCTTCTGGAGAAAGTCTTATTTGTTTATTTTGGCTAGAAACAAGACAGTTTTTAATAATTAAACAATCAAAATCATTAGCCCCTTTAAGCTATATTTTATTCCGATAGTCTACAGAACAAACCATCATTATACAATAACTTGCCTAATTACCCTCACCTGCCTAGTTAATCTAATTAACCTAGTTAAGCCTTTAAATGTCACTTTAAGCTGTATAGAAGCTTCGTGAAAACTTTCTAGTAAAATGTTGGTTACTGTCATCACGGCAAAGATATAAAGTAAAATAAATTATAAGATGTATTTATATTACAAATACTATTATATTAAAACAAAACCAAAAAAATAAATAAATAAAAAATAAATGGTTTCATACAACTGAAATATCAGTTTTTACAGTCTGAGAAAAACATAGCAACAGAGACAATGACAGACTCTCTGGACTTGTAAGTGTCAAAGCAAGGGGCATTTATGTGTGTGTGTGTGTGTGTGTGTGTGTGTGTGTGTGTGTGTGTGTGTGTGTGTGTGTGTGTGTGTGTGTGTCTGCGCATGCCAGACAGAACTAACAACTTGTCAGCTAAAGTGAACATACATCATCACTTCCCTGATGCCAAGCTCGTCGCTATCAAAGGCCCCTGTGGGCTGTCAGATCAGATGCCAGTTTAAAGAGATAAAGCAACAAACACTGCCATCTCCCTGCGGTGAACGCACACTAACACAAACACACACTCAGCCCTCCAAACCCCTGCTGTGCTAATGCAGCATTTTACTGTGATCAAAGACCACTCACTCCAGCATGTATGTGTTAGTTTTAAGCATGTATACAAACATGTTAGAGTTATCCAGGATGCTCCGAAACCTACAACAAAGACGGTCTTTGTGTCTCACGACAGAATATGTGAAGAAAATGACTCTCAGATCAGTGACTCTCTGATGTGTCATGTGATTGGGTGTTGCTGCACTTGTCACACTTTCAGTTGTTTTCATGCGGTCCAGAGTTAGATCCCAAGCTGACAGAGAATGATTCTAGTATTAACTTAACCTGATCTTAATTAGATCAGATTTGTTAGGTTTCGTCAACCTCAAACTTACTCTGCAACCCGGAGCTTGACCAACTTGTTTTGTGCAATATGTGTTGTGTTTGGCATGGCATGGTGGCTCAGTGGTTAGCACTGTTGCCTCACAGCAAGACGTTCAGGCTAGGCCAGTTGGCATTTCTGTGTGCCGTTTTCATGTTCTCCCCGTGTTCGAGTGGGTTTTCTCTGGATGCTCTGGTTTCCCCCACAGTCCAAAGACATGCGGTACAGGTGAATTGGGAATGTGAGAGTGTATGGGTTTTTTCCAGTACTAGGTTGCAGTTGGAAGGGCATTTTCTGTGTAAACCATTTGCTGGAATAGTTGGCTGTACATTCTGCTGTGGCAACCCCTGAAAAAATGGCACTAAGCTAAAAGAAAATGAATGTGTTGTCTTTCATGCAGCATGTGTTGCACACTCTTTGCAGTACATCTCAAGCTCTATCAGGTTGGATAGGAAGCGACGGTGTACAGCCATTTTCAGATCTCTTCAGAGATGTTCAATAGGATTTAGGTCTGGGCTCAGGCTACGCCACTCAAGGACATTTACTGAGTTGTTGTGAAGCCACTCAATTGATATTTTGGCAGTGTGCTTTGGGTCATTGTCCTGCTGGAAAATGAACCGTCGCCCCAGTCTGAGGTCAAGAGCACTCTGAAGCAGTTTTTCATTCAGGATGTCTCTGTGCATTGCTGCATTCATCTCTCCCTCTATTCTGACTAGTCTTCCAGTTCCCGCTGCTGAAAAACATCCCCACAGCATGATGCTGCCACCACCATGCTTCACTGTAGGGATGGTATTAGCCTGGTGATGAGCGGTGCCTGGTTTTCTCCAAACGTAACGCCTGGCATTCACTTTAGAGTTAAATTTTAGTCTCATCAAACCAGAGAATTTTGTTTCTTATAGTCTGAGAGTCCTTCAGAATTCTTTTGGCAAATTCCAGGCAGGTAGTGGCTTCCGCCTGGCCATTCTACCATACAGGCCTGATTGGTGGATTGCTACACAGATGGTTGTCCTTCTGTAAGGTTTCCTCTCTCCACAGAAGAACGCTGGAGCTCAGACAGAGTAAACATCTGGTTAATGATCACCTTCCTGACTAAGGCCATTCTCCCCCGATCTAGCTTAGATGGCCAGCCAACTCTAGGAGCTCTGGTGTCCTGGTGTGCTCTGGTGAGTCCTGGTGGTTCCAAACATCTTCCACTTACGGATGATGGAGGTCACTGTGCTCATTGGAACTTTCAGAGCAGCAGAAATGTTTCTGTAACCTTCCCCAGCCTTGTGCCTCAAGACAATCCTGTCTCGGTCTACAGATAATTCCTTTGTCTTCATGCTTGGTTTGTGCTTTGTCATACACTGTCAACCCTGGGGTCTTAAATAGACAGGTGTATACCTTTTCAAGTCATGTCCAATCAGCTAAATTTACCACAGGTGAACTCTAATTACGCTGCTGAAACATCAAGAATGATCAGTGGAAACAGAATGTACCTGAGCTCAATTTAGAGCTTCATGGCAAAGGCTGTTAATACTTCTGTACATGTGAATTTTTTCATTTTTTTTTTTTTTTTTTTTATAAATTTGCAACAATTTTAAAAACTCTTTTTTTTCCCATTGTCATTATGGGGTATTGTGTGTAAAACTTTGAGAAAATGAATGAATTTAATCAATTTTGAAATAAGCCAGTAATATAAAAAATGAGGAAAAAGCACTATGAATACTTTTCAGATGCAATGTATCTCACATTGTATACCAAAACATATTTATAATTAATTGTTGGCATTTTACAAATCCAACTATTAGATAGCAAAGTAACATAAAGAGCCCAAAGGGACTTCAGTATTTGTTTCATAATAAGCATGAACTTTTGAGAAATGACTGGAAGCAAGGACATGAAAATGTCAATTGGAAGGGCCGGAATGAAAGAGAGAAAAATAATTATATAAATCATTTTGCATGTTTACTTATTGCTTTCTCATTATTATTTGTTTTGGGATGTGTATTTTGTCGTTTTATTTATTTATGCATGTATAGTTAGGTCCATAAATATTTGTACATCTACACAATTCTTACATTTTTGCCTCTATCCACCAACACAATCTATTTGAAATGAAACAAATAAGATGTGGTTTAACTGTAGAGTGTCAGCTTTAATTTGAGAGTATTTACATTTAAATCAGGTGAACACTGTAGGAATTAAAACAGTTTGCATATGTGCCTCCCACTTGTTCAGGGACCAAAAGTAATCACAAGTAACCAAAGAGCTTTTATAGAGAAAGAATTGGAATGTTATTCAATG